TTTTTTTAGGAATAATTTATACACAGAAAATCATTTTATGTAACAAATTGGCCATGTGATTACCATTTTTTAATTTTTTTTTGCTTTTTTTTTTAAAAACGTTATTTAAACAAGAAAACTCAGAAAATGCATTATTTGCGATGCATCCATTCCATCGTGCCTTCTGGTTTGATTTTTGCCCCAGAGGTAGAGAAACTCTGGCAGTCTTCTCACCTCAACCTCACTGGTTTAGAAAGCAGACAGGTGTTTTCGCCAGGCATCTATCCACCTGGGGATGTGTCTACGCAACGTCAAACATCTGAATGAAAAGTTAAAAATGAAAAACAAATTGTTTCTGGACCATTCTTCTACTTAGTGCAAAACATCCAGAAGTTTCCAATGATGGAAAGTTTGTGAAGTTGAGTAGACATGGCCAACAATCTATTGGGAGCTAGAGGAAATGGAGTCAAACTTGAACATTTGTGTGTGTGTGTAGTTTTTATTAAAAAGGACTTGTTTTGTACTGGAAAAATGTATCTTCGGTGTTCTGCCTTAAATAAAAATAAATAGGATCTCTTCCTTGTAACAAAGCATTAATCATGATATGAGGCATGTAAGCAAATGGCCTGTGTGCATCAGAATTATCTTTCTTGAGATAAGTCTGTATGCTGTGATCACTGTGAAAACCATCTGTGTGTGCCAACTCTGTGGCACTGCATAACAATTACAACAACCAAACCAAACAAATGGGATGCTGAATAGCACATGTGCCCTGCTGGGCTGCAACACCTCTGCTGTTTCCATGGCCAATGAGGTTCTTTCAGTCTGTTAGAGTAGCTGCACTCCAAAGGGAAATGACCAGTAAAAGATGATCCCCTTCCCAACCAGAAGGCTCTGGAAGACCAAGATACTGAAGATACAGAACTACTTCTTAAATGATCATTCCTTTGTTATAAACTAGGGCACAAAGCATGGGGGAAAGGGAGTGAACCACAGCTTGGGTCAGGGAAAAGTCGTTTTTTTTTTTTTTTTAATATGTTTTCCATTCCTTTTAGGAGACTCTCATTGCCCCTCTACTATGAGTTGGAACTGACTCAACAGCAATGGGTTTTTTTTTTTTTTTTGGCATATTGTAAAGCTAGCTAGTAAACAGGTGTCCTTAAAAAAAAAAAAAAAAGTGGATCACAAACACACATTTGCACACAGAGAAAAAATGTCTTTAAATTATTTTCGGCAATTATAAACTACAAACATTTTATAAAATTATTCTATGTTCTTACAAAAATGCAATGAAACATTTAATTAGTTCTTGTAAACCAGATCTTCGTCAACTGACTACCCGTAAGCTACTGGACTTAAGAGCCCTATTGAAAATGCTAATGAGTGACTAATTAAAACAATGCTTACCAAAGAGATGCAGACACACAAACGTGGACAGACAAATGAGTGATCATTATGTTCTTGGAAAAACAAAACAAAACCCTAAAGTTATGCCCCAGAACTGACAGCTGACAAGTGCGATGTTCATCTTCTTGAACAATTTGACTTAACTCCTCAATAACAGTTTCCAAAGTAGGATGTTGGGTTTATTTAACCAAATGCCCATCGATGAGTGTTGAGACTTGATGTGGTCTGCTACCTTCAGAAACCATCAAGTTCAAAACAATGCCCACACTTCTTCGAAGCCCTGTATGCTTCTCACAATTCTTCTCTTCATGTCATGCATAATCACTGTTACAGTGGTTTCCTACCACCTGATCTTTCCACCATCAAGGAGCGTTTGTCTGCTTTTTCTCCAAATGACTGACTAGTTATCTAGGCTGGAGGCCAATGTGAAACACTCTGGCCTGTCCAAGGTCTGTATCTTCAGCATCTCTGGCATCAGAGGTTCAATCTAAGCAACATCCTCTCTTGAAGTTCTCATTTGTACCACCAACTACTTCAGAGTGGAGTAAGGAAAGTTTGACTTTCATCACTGGTGCTTAAGGAGTGGATCTCTCGTCTATATCTCCCGATGCTACTTAGCCCAGAAAATGAAAAATCGCTGACAAATACAAAAGTAACATTAATAGAAGAACAAGCCCTAAACTTTAATGCAATGCTAGAATGGGCCAAGGCATGGCATGGCATGTTACTGTCAACTGGGGGGTGCCATTGTTTTGGAAAGGAGTTGCCTTCAATACCGTCTGGCCGCCCCGGGAGGACCCCACAGTGATAGCTGCAGACCTTGGACCAGGCACCCTGGCCGTCTCACTGGTCTGAGCTCAGTGTGGCCTTGCCACCACAGCAGCCCGCACGGCGTGCAACCACCTGCAGACAGAGGTGGGCTGCTGAGAAAGAGGCTTTGGTGGAACAAACTGGCCTAGAATTTGGCAGCATACTTGGCTCAAAAATCTGTCATCCCAACTGAAACACACTCCTTCGTACCAAGCATTCTGCCATTTGGTAGTTCCACAATAACCACTTTTCTATTTTGCTAAGCCACTTTTCCTACCATTGATATGTTTTTCAGAGTCATAAGAAATAAGCTGCAGGAGATGCCAGTGCTAGCCATGAACGTTGTCTTGTATCTTCCAAGAAGGAAGCTCATTCCAATGGCATGTGAAACGTCAGCATCCTGCCATCACATACAGGAGACTTGGGGTGGCCTAGGTCTCACCCAGCTGAAGTTCAACAACGTCTCCAGAATAGACCAGCTCCTGCCGCCTCAGAGCAGGGCCGTGGGTGATAATATTTTCATGCTCGCGTCAATTCAGTGATGGGCCTCAGTGGTTCGTGTCATTTCAAGCAGTGTGATCTGCTGGCAGAAGGAGGTTGCATGGAAAATGCCACAACTCAGATTTATAAAATTATTTGGAGCATACAAAAGAGAAAAATCGAGAAGAGGTGGGAAAATCAGCATAAAAGTAGGCTAGAACTGTGACTAGATGATGCCTTGGTGTAGTCAAGGTGGGTGATTTGGTCCAGTAAAATGACTGCACCATCACACAAGCAAAATTTTCTTTAAGTGTTTCTAGCATTTATTATGATGGGCACTACACTGTGTTTTCTTTCTACTTAAAGAAAAACCACCTACATAAAACAAAAACAAAATGACACCAACAACTCGGACAGTTTAAATAAAACCCTTATAACCAGCTGAATGATCTGTAGAAATCCAGTTGTGGAAACCGGTAAGTATGTGCAAAAGAGAGGAGAGGTCACTATTCTGAGGGGTCACCAAGAGTGTGGAAGAAGAAACCCTGATCACACAGTATTTCTCAATTACCTTAAGATTCCAGGGGACTTGGGAATGGAGGGTAGTGTTCTTGCAAGAGGGAAAATGCTCCTGAGCTTAAATGCAGGACTGGGATTTTAAGGAGCATCCAGGCTTTGGGAGAACCAGCCACTGTGTTTTCCAGATCCTATCCCCAGGGCCTGTAAGAGCAGCTGCTAGCATTGGGGAAGCACCCTCCACCCCTGTGAGCAGCAGGACAGAGCCGTGGTGGGAGGCTCCACACTGTGGAGGGAGGCTCCGTGTGACCACTGGCCCTGTCCATCCAGAAGGTTCCATAGGTCTTTTTTCTCCCTGGGGGGAGGAGGTGAGGGTGAAGTTGAGAGGACAGTCTGGAGAGGGAGAAGGGGCCTCTTCTCCTCAGTACATTTTCTATCGGATTGACTGTTAGGCCAGGAACCTCTGTCTTCAGAGGGGTGGGTGGCCGGTGCGCTCACTGCCAACACAGCTGCACCGTTGAGTTTAACAAATGCAGCAGCATGTCCCTGCAGCGCTGCAGGTCCTGGCCCAGGGTGCACAAGGAGCAGCTGCGAGGGGAAACCCCAAACACTGCCCATTGGCACATGGGATTCTAACAGAGACCTGCCGTTGGCACCCCCTTTCCTGTCCTCAGAACCTGGGACACAACCGCTCTCTCCATGAGGAACCTTGTTCATCATTCAATCTGCATGAAGTCGTTTGTTTCAAAGACAGCCCGGGACGGCCATGGGGTCTCCCTGCTTTGAGCCATGGTGGTCTCAGGGCCTTACTGCAGAACACAGAGAGCCCTGGGGTCCCGGGGCCACTGGGCTGGGAGAAGGAAAACCCCAACACCTCGCCACCTCTCACCAAGTTAAGAAAAGGAACAAAAGCAACCCAAATGAGCCATCTCAGAAAAAGGCAAGCTGTTTGCAAATGAGTGGTGAGATGAGTTGGAGCGTTGCTTTGACCCCGGAATACAGCCTGGCCTCTCCCCTCGTCACCTGGTATGTGTGGCCTGTGGCGTGGATGAGGTTACCAGTATCAACGGCATATTGTCAGGTGCTGAGAAATGTGAGATGTATTCTTTTTTATATATACGCATATAAAAAAATAAGAGTGAGGTAGATGTTTGAAAAATAAAAATACAAATACTGTCCCGTCTTACACACACACAAAAAAACGCTTTTCTCCTTATCTAGATTCATAATGGGGCCTCTCTACAGTGATTGAAACTGGTATCACAGAATAAATTAAAAGAAAACTCCTACATATAATACCTTCTTAATTAACTTTTTTCTTATTTTTTTAAAGGGGAAAAATGATGGGACAGAGGCTAGAGAAAATAGTGGGACTGAAATTACTGACAAGCAAAAAAACACCACAAGCTTTTTTTGTGTTCACTCTCCAGTCCCAGCTAGCACTCATCATATTTTAACTTTGTTCTTCCTCGTCATTTAAATATTTCCATCCCGGAAGCAACCCTTGTGCTGTCATCACTCTGGTGAGAAGTGCTAAAAACAAAACGCCACAAAATGGCCCCGACTCAAGAACTTGGAGTCCTGGCCGAGGGAGAGAACAATGGCCCAAGGCTCTGGTCCCCTGGGAATGAGCTCAGGGCTCCTGGGCCCCTCTGATGTCTCTCTGCCCCGACCTGGCGCTCCGCAGCAGACCGGGAGGGGTCCCGCCAACCCCCCTGAGGCTGCTGCCCTGGGGCCAGTGGAGCCTGGGCTTGGCTGCCCTACCAGTGCCAAGGACGGCCCGGCCCGTGGGAGTTTCTGACTCTAAAGACAGGTAGGTCGGTTTGGTGAGGGTGGGGACAAAGCCACAGGGGGCCTGCTGGACCACACTCAGCTACACCCTTGGACTCAGCAGCTGTTTCTCACGGGATGGAAGGATTAAATACCCACTTAAAAAAATAGTAACCTAAATGCCTAGTGTCTGCAGTTAAAACTGCTGTTGTACCCAAGAATTAAAAAAATATATATATGTGTGTCACAACCGAAACAAAGGCAAGGGAAAGCGAAGGTGAGACTTCTCAACAATGGTGGATAGAAACACTGAACAAGGATGTGCAAAAGACAACCTTTTTTTTTTTCCTGACCTGAGTTTGTATCATGTCTTGTACTGTAACAGACTCGAATGCTGTGTGAGAGCAGGCTAAGGAAAGAGGGGGGCTCAGCCAGCCAGGCCAGGTGCTCCCAGGAGGGACAGGCTCCAGTCTTCCCCCAACCCTTTTCCCTCACCAACCTCGTACCCACAGAGCCTACGGGTTAGAAAACAACTAATGGGGTGGGGGGGCGGCTGGGGAGAGGAGGATGTGTTTATAAAAAGGCATCAAACAGTTCATGGCAAATTATGTTATAGAAGTATCAATTACTGGGAAAAGAGGAAGAAAGTCACACGCTCTAGTACAAAGCATAAGAAGTTTCTTGGAGTGAGCAGAAAGGGAAGGAGGGTAGACCTGAAGGTTTTCATAGATTAAATCCACAAAGATAAAGAACAAAAAAAATAGCAGCTTTTTTTTTTTTCTGTACAGACGTATAGATGAATATCTGAACTGTAAAAAAGTTATAAAAGTGACATTAAAGACGATGTGTATGCAAATGTTTCATGGTCTAACATAGAACTGTAAGACCCATGAAGAAGTCCTAGTAACAGAGAAAATGTCAACAAAGCTTAGAATGCTTGAATCCATTTACTGCTTTTCTTCGTATTGTTGTGGTGCTGTTTGAATTTCTCTCCTTGCAAACCTGCATAAACGGCTGGGCTGAGTCCCCAGAAACCCCTTCCCACCTGTGTCCCTGGGGCCGGGAGGGGGCAGGGTGGGGCGGGGACACTGCCATGAGGACGACCTTTGCTCAAAGCTTGTGTCTCAGGCTCTTGACAGGGCCTGTTTTCTCCAGAATTCTTGGGGGCTAGAGGGCAGGGGTGGGGGAAGTGGGGCAGGGAAGCCAGTTCAGCTTCTCCCCATCTCCACTGAGAGAAAGTCCCATTTTTGTCCAGTTCCCCCAAATACTAAGCTAGCCAAAAGCAGGTAAATCACCGTGAACATGAGACTTAAAACAATGCCAGTGAATGATCAGATGGAGGGCATCACCAACATTTCTCTTAAATGGAGTTAACTAAATACCATGCTCTCTCCATGCCTCTGGAAATAAGAAATTAAATGCAGGGGTTGTGAGGGGGAAAGTTCCAGATTTTGGCAAAATTTGGCAGCATTAAAATGGTAACAAACTTGGATGATTTATGGCCCTTTTTAAATTTTGTATGTCCCTCAAAAGGTTAAAGATACAGTTAAAAAATTTAGTCCCAACTGGTTTTGATTAAGACCTACAGTGTGGGGCAGGTGCTGATAGGGACACTGTGGAACCACCTGGACAGCCATTTTCTCATTCTGGTAAAAAGGGTGTCATGGCTGGACTTGTGGCAAACGTTTCCACTATGAAGCAGAGAAAGAGAAATACGTCAGAGAGACATAAGGAAAAGAGACAGGGAAAGAGCGAGGAGGATGGGTTCTCAAGTGCTCTGTTGCTATTACGTGTTGTCATTAAGGTTTTTAAAGGCCCATGTCAGTTGGAGGGTTTGGTTAGGAAAATAAAAAGCTGCTTGCATATTGAAAAAAGGAACATCCCAAATGTGTTTACTGAAGAGAAGCCGTCTCCCGTGGGCAGCAATGGCAGCTCTGAAGATCCACTGAGGTACAGGAGGCTTTTGAATATATTGTTAAAATGTTCTCTCTTCCTCCCCCCACCCCGCCACTGAGTGCGCACACATATTACGGTTTGCACGGGTTTCGGGATCCAAGGATCAGCAGGTTGAAGACTGGGGCAGAGGCAAGGCCCTCTCGTTCTTGCGTCCCCCATTCATGTGCGCGTAAGGCTGTCTCTCATCAAAGCTGGCTCGGAGAACCAACACACCAGGGCCCGGGCCATTCTCAGCCTTGTGTCCTGAGTGTCTGTCGGGCAGCGGCAGGGAGGACGAGGAGGCAGAGGGGTCCAGGGGGACACTCTCCATATTCTCCGGCTCCAGGTCCAGCTCCTCCGGTTCGGGGGGCTTGTTCTCCTCGCTGTAGTAGAAGGAGACCTCCCGAAAGCCGGGCTCCATCTCGTCCTTGATGCTGCTGATGATCTCCAGGAAGGAAGGCCTCATTTTGGGGTTGTACTGCCAGCACATGCGCATCAGCTCAAACCTAAATGAAGACAGACAGAGATGGGCCCAGACTGGAAGGGAGTCTGTGGCAAAGTGGCCCAGCCCACTTGCTGTGGTTTCCCCATCAGACTTGTATACAGTGAGATCAATAAAAATCAACTGCCACCTCTCGTGAAGTCTCTGGCTTTCTATCTTGATGGCCTATGGAGTCTTCAGCTTCTCCTGTCTTACATCCCCACTCCACTTACCTTGTCCGCAACCTATGACCCACAGTGGCAGAAAACCCAAACTCTTTCAAGGAGGGCAAATCTAGGTCCACACAGAGCCTGTCATTACATGTATTATTTAAGGTGACAGTGCTAAGAAGTAAAAATAAAAATAACTAGCTTTCTATTTGAAGCATCTCTTGCAGCCACTGGTTCAAACATGATTTCCAGAATTTGAACGCAGGCAACTTCAGGTTTCTCACCAAGAAGGTAGATGAGGCAATCACAGCTTTCCTGACAGTGGTCTCTCTTTTGATCCCACCTCTACTATTTCCAAGCTTCCTCATGGTGGCAGGGATACCACTGGCAGAGAACCCAAGGATGCAGGCATTACAAGGTAGCATAGTTGCAAAACAGAAGGAGCTCGTCTTCTGAGTTTGCAGTCTCAACCTAGCTGCGGCTGCTTGCTGCAGGGCCCCCCCAGGCAGAACTTGGGCCTATGGCCCAGGCCACGTGAGCAACATTAGTGTCTCAGTGCAGATCTGAGGCCAGAGAGGGAGAACCTGTGGAAGTCTCCTCCACCAGCAAGGGACAGGCAAAGAACAGGGCGTAAAGCTGCGCTGTGCCCTGGTCTTGCCAGCTGGGTCACAGTGGCACTTTGGCTGCACACCTTTGTGAAGGCTTCACTGAGTCATGTGGGCCAGAGGGGAGTCTTTCCAGCAACGGGACTGACCCCTCACGAGAGCAGGAGACCACACAGGGAAGAAGGGGGTGCTGTACTGGTGCAGCCAGCTGCTGGGACCCAGGAAACACCAAGGCTTTAATGAGTTCAGAATGGCTGCGGGAGGAGGGGATGCTTCTTATTAACCCAGCATGCACAGACACAGCTAAAAAGGCCTTTGAAGCAAACAAGATGCATGAGCACACACCCAGGCCGGCCCCAGAGTGCAGAGGAAGCCGTGGTTCTGGGCCAGCGGTCCTCTCTCGTGTGAGCTTGTAAACAGCCTTCCCTTCCACCTCTGCTCTCTCCAGAAAATTTTACTCTGTTTTGTTTTAAAAATTCTGGCTAAAGAGATGCTTTTCAATAAAATGAACAAATGGAACTCCACATATCCAGGAAGCTCAAAGCACCCCAAACTGGCATCCAGCCTTCTGTCAGAATGACCACTGGGCCAAGAGACCACCTGCTTACATATGTGCCTGGGAAAATTCCAATGGGAGAAACAGGATGTAGCAGAAGGCCATTGAGCGTGCAAGCTGGCCTGGAGAGAGAAAGGATTGCAGACCTGGCCAGACTTCCTTAGAAGACGCAGGAAAGAAGGTATCAAGTAAAATCTGGTGGAGGAGCACATGACCTTGAGGAAGGGTGGGAATGAGCAGCAGGGAGATCCATCCAGATTCAATGTTCCAGAGCAGGGGTCTGCAAACTACAGCTGGGGCCAAACCTCGCCTATTACCTGTTTCTGTATATCAGGTTTTATTGGAACAGCCATGCCCATTAGTTTAGGGGCTGCTTTCAAGCTACAGGAGCCTTGGTGGCACATTGGTTAATAGCTCAGCTGCTAACCAAAAGGTTGGCAGTTCGAATCCACTAGCCGCTCCCTGGAAACCCTATTGGGCAGTTCTACTCTGTCCTATAGGGTCGCCATGAGTCAGAATCAACTCAATGGCAACGGGTTTGGTTTTCTGGGTTTTTTTTTTCAAGCTACAACTGTGAGCTGAGTAGTTGCGGCAGAAACTGTGTGGGCCGCAAGCCGAAAATATTTACTGTCTGGCCCTTTACAGAAAAAGTTTGCTGACTCCTGCTCTAGAGGAAAAAGAAGCCAAAACATGAAGGCTGACTAGTTTCTTCCCCCTCCCAACTAAACCCCCTGTACCAAGGCCACCACCCATGACAACGGGAGGAGCTAGTATCTGTTTAACGTGAGGAGCGACAGGCACTAAGTCTGCTGGGCAGTCAGAGTTTTTTCTGTGTGTGAGCCACTTGAATCCTCCCAAGGCTGTGAAGGAGGTACTATTATTACCTCCATTTTACAGACGAGGAAACAGAGGTACCAAAAGATCCAATACTTTGCCCAAGGTTACAAAACTAGTGAGGGGTGGAGTTGAGGTGGAGTTCTCTGTCAAACAGCATGGCTACACTTTGATCGCCAGCTTCCTCAAAAAAATAAATCTTCTCTCAAGCAAAACAAGAGTAACCGTGGTCCTACCAGGAGACCCTCCCTCCTCTACTAGCTGCTCATGACAGTCCCAGGTGTTGCAGGCGTTGGCACTGACAGACTGGCAGCTAGTTTGCTAACTCCCTGTGGTCAGGTGGCAAATAAGCCTGCCTGCCCGTACCCCATCCCTCATCACTTCGTAAGAAAAAGGACAATTTTTTTTTTTTTTTTTTTAACGGGCCATAAATAACATGAAATCCCTCTCTACTGCTCCGCTGCAATTTCCTCCGGCTGACTGGCTCATCCCTGAATAGAAGCACAGCTGGGCCAAGGACACGTGCTGTGCCCTGGCTCTGGGCCCCTGTGGCCCAGAGGGGCTGAGGAGGTGCCACGGACAGGAGAGTGATGCGGTGACATCAGCACAAACAAGCCACGTGACGCCTCTTTTAAACCATTCCAGATTCACAGCCCTTTCAGTGCTGCCCATAAAAGGAAGCTTTTTTTTACTCTGTGGGATTCCAGACCTTGTTTACACTGTCTCAACATGAAAACTTCCCAGTAGACTCGAAGGATTTATGAGCTGATAAAACTCTTCTTTAAAAAAGCACATTTTTTTTTTTTTATAACTCGTCAGCTCTGGCGAGTCCTGAGCCCCTCTGTGCTATCGAGGAGAGTTTCTGACGACTCTCCAGATGCAGAGGACGTGGGCACCCAGCCCTTCAGCTAGGGCAGAAGCAAGAAGCGACTGGATTCCTGTCCCAACTCTGCAGCATTTTAATGTGAGACATTCGTCACTTCAGGAGGCTGAGTGATGGTCGGGGTGTAGGAAAGAGGGACGACTGCACTAGCGCCTCCATCCTAAACCCGCAGAGGACCTCCTATTCACACACTGCTCTCGGGCCCTGACGCAGGGTGTGAACTGGACAGGTTGTGATCTGTCTGTGATGGAGAGCAGCAAGCCGAGATGCACGCCGGCAGCGCAGGATCGAAGATTCCTGCCACCCAATGTCCAACGTTAGCATAGCCTCAGCCCAGGCGATAACACTCACAACAGAGAGACCTGATTCTAGAAAGGCCCTGGGGGGCTGGGTGTGCTCCTCCCCCACACCCCGGGTCACTCTGTGTCCCGCATAGCTCAAATGCAGGGCCTGTTCACCATGGAAAAGCTCGTCCCAAGGCCAACTGGGCAGGAAGTGGCCATTACTGCCTGATTGGACCCCACTCAAGCACTCGATTCCCGCAAAACCAGCCCAGGATTCCCAGCAATGTGAGGACTTTAATCAGCGACAGGAAAAAAAAAAACATGTTTTGAAAACTGCATAAACAATCAGATTCTACTGAGTTTATTTCAAACTCATCTATGAGTTGACGACTCTTTGGACTAAAAAATGCAAATTCTTTCCTGAATTCTGCATACCAAAGCCTTGGCTGGCAGGAGTCTTGACAAGTGGAGTTGTGGGAAGTTTTATCAGCAGAACAAACATCACTCGAGCTGTTAAGGCTTGTTTACACCTCTGCACTAGCCCTTATCCTGTCCGTAGCATTAAAGCCAGCCTTTCACTTTGCCAGACTCTGTGAAAGCTAGGGCCATCCGAACTCATCTTCAAGACATTGGCTGTCAGCACATACCCAGACAGGCTCAATACCATTTGTGGCAAAGTACTGCGCTGAGTGTGAGACGGGGTCAAGGATGGGCCTGGTTCTCAGTTAACTATGTGGACCCACCGGCACACCACAGCACGAATCTGATTCTGTGATACTTGCTGACTTAAGTCGAGCCATGGCATCGAGACTCACACACTGATACTGTGTGCCTTGGACTATGGAGCCTTCAAGCTCAGCCTGAGCATTCTGTGATATGGAGGGGGTGGGGATTTGGCTGCTCCAGAGGCAGCCTGTTTCACTTGTAGGCATCACTCAACAGCTGAAGGTCCTTCTGGTGCTGTGCCGGAGACCCTCAGCTGCCTCTGTGCCCCCCACGTTTCCCTAGAGTCCTTGTTCAGGCCTCTGGAACCTCATCGCTGAAGCAGTTTCTCTCCCACATGTACTCCCTACAGGTGTTTCAGGGCGCCTCCCCAGGGTGTCAGTGAGTTTCCTTCAGGGCTTGGAACCCATCTGTTCTGGTTGGAACCGCTGCTAAGAATCTGCATTTCTAACAAGTTCTCAGGCGATGCTAATGCTGCTGGTTAGGGACCAATTCTGAGAACCACTAGTAGAGCAGAGATTCTTGAAATTTATTATACTTAAGAATCACCCAGGGATCTGGTTAAAATGCAGATTCTGATTCAGTATATCTGGCCGTGGAAATGCAAATTCTCAGGAGGGGTTAGAACTTCAACAAACCGATTTGAAGCCCTGGTTTCCTCTACTCAGTGGTTAAGAGCTCAGCTGTTAAACAAAAGGTCGGCAGTTTGAATCCACCAGCTGCTCCGTGGAAACCCTATGGGGCAGTTCTACTCTGTCCTATACGTCACTATGAGTAGGCATCCAGTCGACGGCAACGGGAGTTGGCAGGGGGGACCAACATGGCCCATTCTTTCATTTCTGGCAACAAAAGAACCCTTCTCCCGGAGTACTTCCTCCTTACCCAAGCTCATCAATACACTCGGGACAACACAGACACTCCCTAGAAACCAACTGGCCTCCTTTGACTTTGTTCTTTTCTTAACACAAATCCAAACCCACTGCCGACAAGCTGATTCTGACTCATAGCAACCCTACAGGACAGAGCAGAACTGACCCATAGGGTTTACAAGGCTATAAATCTTTATGGAAGCAGACTGTCACATCTTTCTCCCACGGAGTGGCTGGTGGGTTCGAACCACTGACCTTTTGGTTAGCAGCTAAGCGCTTAACCACTGCGCCAGCGCTCGGGGCGTTCTTTTCTCAGAAGGGAGAAAAATTTGCCAAGGGAGTTCTGGATGGCAAAGCAGAAAACGCCTCCTGAATTAAACATATAATATCCAAGAGTAAGCTCTCCATGTAAATTTCCTTGTCACTCTGCTGGGAACAGGAAGTACCCTGCCTTTCCCAGGGCAGGTGGGCTGCTTCCCAGGCATATTCAGTTAATACCAAAACACCAGTTCTCTGGGGGCGGATCAACTTCAGGAGCCTCACAAGTTTCTGAGACAATGTTTACAGAGTCAAATGAGAAAGCACACAGACAATACCGCTCTCCGCCCTACCCCCACCCACATGAACAAAACTCACACCTGCTCTCTTGGACTGTTTCTCAGCTTGCCAAAACACCACTGATTCTAGAACCTCTTTTCTGGTCCCACACATCTTTATGCAAATTCAGTGGGTAGGAGACCTCACGTTGCCTTACTTGTATTTTGGCTCTGAAAGATTTTTCTTCTAATGGGCTGGTAAGAATAAAGTGGCTGAAGTTTTCAAAGTGAGGAGCAGATAGTCATCTGTGAGGGAAAGGGGGTGAGGAGGAGTGACAGCCAGCTTCCAAGATGCCCCAGTGGTCTCACTTCCTGGTATTTGTACCCCTGGGTAATCCCCTCCCACATGGAAAAGGACTGACCCCGTAACCCATAGGAGAGAGAGGAGATGATGGAGTGGGACTTTCAGGCTAGGTCATAAATGACACTGTGGCTTCCACTCTGCCCTTGGGTCACTGACTCCAGGACAAGGGTAGGCAAACGGGGACCTAGAGGGGCCACATCCAGACTTCTGCTTGCTTGTCGAAGGTCTGTGACCTAAGAATGGTTTTTACATCTGTAATTTGTAAATGGTTGAATAAAAATCACAATATTTCGTGACACATGAAAATGAACCGAAATTCTAATTTTGGTATCCCAAAATAAAGTGTTATTAGAGTACAGCCATGACTACGTAATGTCTATGGCTGCTTTTATGCTACAATAGTAGAGCTCAGAGACCGTATGATCTACAGAACTGAAACTATTTACTATCTGGTCCTTTAGAGAAAGTCTGTGGAGCCCTGCTCTAGGAAAGCCAGCTGCCGTGTCATACGGACACTCAATCAGCACTACAGAGAGGTCCAAGTAGGAACTAAGGCCTCAATGGCACGCAGCACCACCCTGGAAGCAGATCCACCAGCCCCAGTCAAGCCTTCAGATGACTACAGCCCCAAAAGATAACTATACTGAAACCTCATGAGAGACTCTAGGGCAGAACCTCCTGGATTCCTGACCTTCAGAAACTCTGTGAGATAATAAATGTTGACGGTTGTTTTAAGCTGTCAAGTTTTGGAGTAATTTATTATGCTGCAGTAAGTAGCCAATATAGGCGAGGAGAGAATTTCTTTGCTGGGCAAGAAAATGCACTAAGTGGCCTGTAAGTCTCTTCTAACTTTCGGTCCAGGAGTTCTGGAGAGGCTGAACTGGGAAGTCCCTCAGATGAGGCACCCAGGAAACCCAAAGCTCCTCTGCCCATATACACTACCCCTGGAAAGCAGAGCCCTCTGGCCCTGGTGGCCTGTCCAGATTTCTCCCCCAGGCACATGCTTCTTTCCCAGTCCAGGCCCTGCTGAGATAAGGGGCATCCCCCACGTACACCAACCAATGTGAAGATGATGCTTTCCCTACGTGACATCTGCTGGCATCTTCTCCCAGCCCACTTTCTTCATTCCATGCAAACTGGCCATGGGGTAGAACAGGCTTCAGCTGAACAAATGTTCAGAAGCAGCAGCTAATAAACACAATGCCTAGACAATATACTCCTGAGGCACAGAGGTGCTCCACTGAGTCTCCCCCACCCCTGTATACCCTTCAGCATCACAGCCAGAGGCAGGAGAACAAGGCCCAGCACCTCTACATGGAGCTTAGGGATTCAGTCTTTGTAGCAACACTCAAAGTGCTTTTAAATAAAAAACAAAAACAAACACAAAACCTTGGCCTGCTGATAGAACTATGGTTCCTGCTCTGGAGACTGTGGCACTAGAATTCTAAGACGGCCATGAGGACTCCTGCCCTTGCTGTACACGTCCTGTGGGATCCCTACTCGGGTGTGGGTTGGACTTCTGAGTATGATGAGATTTCACTCTTTTAATTAGGCTATTGATCAGATGGCAGTTGGGTTCATCAAAAGGGAAATGTTCCTGGCTGGGTCTGACTTAATCAGTTGAAAAACCTTAAAAGTAGCAGAGAGATTCTCCTGCTGACCTTGAAGTAAGCTGGTATGTTATAAGAGGGTCTATGGAGGGGGAACTCTGTCAAGGCCCCGACAGCAGTTTCTAGGAGCTGAGAATGAACCAGCAAGAAAACGAGGACCTCAGTCTTAAACAAGGAACTGAATTCTGCCAAGAACCTGAACGAGCTTGGGAGAGGACCCTGAGCCTCAGATGTGACTGCAGCCCCAGCTGACTCCTTGGTTTCAGCCCCGTGAGACCCTGAGCAGAGACTGTGCACACCCGAGTCTGCATTCCTAACCCATGGAAACTCTGAGAGATCAAATAAGCAAAGCTTTCGTGGCTGCTGGAGCCAGTTGCTCCCATGCCTGCTTGACATGCATGTCTGATTCATATTTGCAAGTCATCCCATCACCATGGGCCCCAGCATGAGTCAGTGCTCACTCAAGGCCGGGGCAGGGGGATGGGCGGCTGGGTAGATCTGGGTATCTTCTACGTAGAGCTAAAAGTAACTCAACAATTCCTGTGTGTTCAAGACACTGTCCTGAAAGGTACTTCTGGGAAACTCATGAATTGGTCTTGAGGTCCTAGTGGTAGCCTACCTTCAGGTTTCACCTACTGGGATCCAGAAGAATCTCTGAACCCTGTCTAATGGACATGTCAAAAACAAGCCCACCGCTTCCAACCATACCTTCCCTGCACATGACGATCCCAATACAGGGCACTTTCACACCCCTCCTCTGATGCGGAAAGACTATGAGGCCTGTTCACCTTCCCGAGCTCCAATTTCCACCAAAACGCTATCCCCTGACAGCACAGCAACTTCTCCACCAAAAAGGGCCATTTCCTCAGAATGCTGACCTGCCGTGACCATGAGACCTCACGCACATTCTCATTCTCTTGCAAATCTCAGGAACTAAAAGTGGTAAGGTTTTCCTTCAAAAAGTGGTTTGAAGAGAGAACTTCCAGCATCGACAGCTGTGTGTGCCCAGGGACATGTCTGCAGGGAGGTCAGCTAGATCATGTTCCAGGCCCACACTGGCCACTGACTGGAGCGCTGGAGCTTTATGACGTTTGTAAACACTTAACAGAAGAGAGACCTTGAGGGCCACCACAGGGGTGGCAGTATGTTGGCACTGTCCACAGGAAGAGGTCTGAGGTTCACCCTGCACAGTCCATTAAGGATTCCTGACCATAAAGCCTTGTGCGCACCAACTGTGACAATTCCCTCTGGCCTACCAAAGGCCAGGGAAGCTCTTGAACTTGACCTAAGAGCAATGTCTGGCCTGAGAAACCACAGTGCAAACCTCAAATCAGAACTAAAAGATTGAGGAATAAAGAGTGGCTTATGGTGACTGTTTCCTTCCGTCAAGATAAACCTCCTTCTAAATCGCTCCCAACCATCACAGTCCCCATTGTGACTGGATTTGCTCCCAGAATCACCAATCTCATGTAATGCGGGAACACAGTTATTTGAGGATCCGAGGGGGAGCTGAGGGGCATGAGAGATACGTACAGCATGTCTGGACAGTTGTCCGGCTTGTCCAGAAGGCCGCCCTCCATGACAAAGCGAAGGACTTGCTCGTTGGATAAGCCCTGGTATGGCTGCTCGGCCAGTGTGGCGATCTCCCAGAGGACGACCCCAAAGGACCTAGAGAGAGAGAAAAGAGAATGAGCAGCTGGGGAAGGGTGAACAGACCACACCCCTCCCCTTCTAGCCTTCTTTGACCTGGGCATTGAAAACATGTCCTCACTGTTGTGACTGACCCCATCACAGACCACACACCGGGCCCTGGGCTAAATGCGTAATAGCTGCCCTCATCGGTTGCTACTAATGCTTCCTGTAAATACAGCCCTCATTGCACAACTGGGGAAGCTGAAGCTCAGCTACATAGTCAAGAAGTCCCTGAGCTTTGTTTTGGGCCCAGGGCACACTGAGTTCAGGGCCTAGCCCCAATTATTTAACCAGCAGGGCAGTCCTTCCCAAACTTCCTTTAACCCAAGAATAACACAATGCAGCTCGCCAGGACCCTGTCCAGATGTTGGTTTGGTACCTCAAATGAGGCCTGGGACCATCTCATCTTTTTAACACACTCCCCAGGTGATTCTGACGATCAGATGATCTCAGCACTGGCTGCATGTGAGACTCTCCTGGGGATCTTCTCAAACATACTGATGCCTGGCCCCCAACAGAAGTTCTGATTTCATGGGCCTGGGGTAGGGGCTGCGCCTTGGAATGTGGAGACGCTCTATAGGGATCCTGCGGGCTGAGGGGGAAGAGACCTCTGCACCACCCAAGCCTGGGCGCTGCTGGCCTGTGAGTGGCTCCATACCATAGGCCGGGGAGTCTCAGTGGGCTGCACGGGCTGGTAGGGGGTGTCACAGACACCAAAGACTGCCTACGCCCAGAGTGTGGCCTAAAGGAGAAAACTGGGCAGCTGAGGCATCAAATCACCCGGCATAGCAGTATGCAGCTCTGCCACCTGTGCAGTTTTTGCCTGTTGGTTTTGAAGATCGAACTACTGGAAATCAAATTTAAATTGATGACATGCATACACTGAAATTTCACACAGATAATGTTAAATAAAGCAATGCTAGACCCTGCAAAACCATGGGCCTTCCTAGAGCAAACCCTGGTCACTCACAAATGCTCCCTGGTCTATCTGCCTTTGGGTCTAGTTTATTCCATTGATTAGAGCAGGTTATTTATTAGCAAGCGGCCCCAGGGGCTTCCTAGCAGATCCATCATAGGCAAGGCCTGCTGGTGAAGCCTCACGCAAAAACTCAGGGCAGGGTGCTTCCCACCCAGAGATCTTGGGATCTTGGCCCCGAGGGCCTCTGACTCTCTGTCAGAACATTTTATTTGCTGCTTCAGCTACTTTCCATAAACAAAAGGGTTTTGTACAAGTTTGATACTAAAAGCAGATGTTAGACATAAATAGGATCTTAGCAATCAAAGAGGGCTGAGCCACCCAAGGTCCTTTTTAACTTCCAGCGACGAAGAAATAGTCTTTACATTGCACAGGAGATCTGGAAAAGCTGAGGACCCAGAGGCCACAGCCTTGATATGAAAGGCCTGGGCAGAGGGCAGCAGGGCTTCTCCAGGGATGTTAGCATTCCAAAACCTGCCCAGCTACACGAGTCACCTGATTCTGCCCATCTGAGATGGGGTACAAGAAATGGTGGGGTATGGTATAATAAATGATGGGGTACAGTACAAGAAATGATGGGGTACAGTACAAGAAACAGTGGGGTACACTATAAGAAACGATGGAGTACAGTACAAGAAATGATGGGGTACAGTACAAGAAACGACAAGCCTGGCCCCTTTACTGACTTCAGGCCGGGCCTGAGAAGTAATCTGAGGATGTGGTCCACCTTCTCCCTCTTGCTCCATGTCCTTCCCCTGGCTGTGTCACCTGCTTCCAAGCACCTACTTCTCGCTGGGTGGCTCCCATGCTAACCCTCTCAGCCCTGACTGCTGTATTCTCTGCTTCAGGTTATTTGGCTATCCACAACTCAACGTGTCTCAAACTGACCTCTCTCTTGCAACCCTGTTCTTTCTTCCTGCTCCCACTGCAGTCGATGCCTCATTCCACCTGGGCAGTCGACGTGGGGTTGTCCTTACCTCTTCCCTTTCTCTGGCTTCCTCGGAGACCCACCAAGACTGAGGTCTGGTCCCTTCCTCTCATTTTCCCGGCTCTTCCTTAATCTTGTTGACTCCACTGGGCCTCTTCTCCTGGCCTACAGCATTTCTCTTTTTTGGCTCCAACATCTTTTTCAATACGTCCTTACACTGTACCTAAGGTGAACTTCTTCAAACACACTGATCACTCTGCTGCTCACAAACCTTAAGTCTTTGCAGAGCCTACATAATTAGTCCAAAATACCTAACACAATACCCAAGGTCTTCCTTGCTCTCTCGTCAACCTAACCTCCTCAAGGAAATCTCACTGTCCTCCATGCCCAGCAAGCACTTCCCACCACTATGTCTCTCTCCAGCGTCCCCATCACCAGGAATTCCCTCCTTATCTCTATACTTGCCAAGCCATCTCATGCTTTAGGGCACCTCCTCCACGATGTCATCTCTTCTGGGAAGGCTTCTGTGACTGCACCCTTTCAGGTTCACTTCCTCTTCTCCACCAGACTACATCCCTGCTTACAGGTACAGAATTGTGACTCTGGCCATCCCTGCATCTTCAACACACTGAGCACTGTGGCTGGTCCACACCAGGTCCTCAACAGTACGTGCACGAACTAATACAGGAGGCAACAGACCAGCCTCTCCATCAGTGCTCAGAGTGGAAATGGAGAAGCTTTCCCCACACAACTCTTGCTTGATGTCAGTATCACCTGTCCATAAGGCCTACTTAAGTGCTGGACCCCATGATCATCCTTAACAGGTCAGCAGGCCCAGGTGAGTCCAGTCGCTTTTGTGCCCCAAGCAATGGAGGCCAAACATCTGTACCCACCACCAAGTGCCTCTCTGGCATCACCAGTTGTCACAAGGAACCATTAAATGTTTATGAAGTCATCACAGAACTAGAAGGGAATGCAGACATCTCTAAACAAACCTCACTTTACAGACGTAGCAACCCAACCCCAAAGCCTAAGGCCACACAGCCAGTCAGAGGTACTGAGAAAGAGGTAACACCCCCATGTTCTTCAAAGCAGGTGTTTCACTATGTGGCACTGACTATTAGTACCTTCATATAAAATTAAGTCTTGAATTTTGTGGACAGGTTTATTCTTTAAATATTAGGTAAATGTCTCCATGTGGAGGATTTTCTAATTATGAGCATTGGAATTGTCTTCCCCAAGTAATGGACACCTTGGTTTGAGTCTCCCTCAATGCCAGTGCTGGCTGGGTCAGCATGTAGTCACTACACTTTCCCGCACCTGGAAGGGAATCATGTCAATATCCCACCTGCCAGCAAATCGATACCTCCAAAGAAATCCCCATTCCTCACTGATGTTAATTAGCCACTAAAGAAGCAAATGATTCTAAGAGGGTGCAACTAGCCCTGGATTCAACAGTTTGGAAAGCTTCTTAGTAACTCAAGACATGAAGACGTGTCTATAGGGTGATCCAGATGCTCAGCTTTAAGCTGAGAATTACAATTTCCCAGTCCTTCACCTGGTTTCCTCCAGGCCTAGAGGGCACACCTGTGTCTTCTAACCCAAACAAGCCATTTCAGAAGGATGTGGAGCTATAAAGGAGCAGTGAGGAGCAACCACAGGACCCAAAGGCCTGGGAATAAAGGCTTGAGCGACAGCAGGACAATCTGGAGATGTTCAGCCCAGACAAAAGAGACCATGGCCTTGGGGGCCTTGAAGTTCTGTCTTATCAAAACCAACAAATCAAAACAAACTACAGAGAGAAGGGGTGTCAGAGAGAGGCAGACTTGGGCATAATATAAGGAAGACTTGCTAAGAACAAGGATGTCTTGAGAATTAGGATGGCCTGTCTTTGTAAGGGAGTGAACATGCAGTCCCTGGTAATAGCTGAGAAGAAGCTCAACACTCCACTGTAGATGGGATGCAGGAATTGGTCCTGACCTCAGAAGGACCTTCCAATCCTAAGACTCTCTGGCCTCTTCTACAAGGCCAAATAAAATTCTTTGTCTTTCTTTCTAGATTTTACCTAGTAGGAGTAATTGTTTTGTGCTATTTAATATAATGATTTCCATTCCTTCAAGAGGGACAGCTTCACTTTAGTGCTAGGATGGCTGAGAAACCTTTCATATACTCCAGATCCTGGTCTTTCCCACCTGAGCTATTCTCACAGCTTAAAAAAATGTAAAGCACTGTCAACGTTTGAACAATGGAATGAATACCAAATGCCTCCTCTCGTTGATAGGTACATTTTCTTATTGGTTCATTAGTCACTGGACACCCTATATATCTCTTTGTTACTGTTTGTAGCTAATCAGAATTTGGGTAAAATTAGCTGGGGAGATATTAGCAATTCTAGTTTTATCTTCCTACCCTACCTCTGTGTTCCCTGGCTCCTACAGGTTTCTCTTTCATTGTACCGTAAGATGACCTCAAAACTTTTGGAGGGACAGATGTATGCATAAGCCCAAGCTGGTCTTCTCCCTTGTCATCCCCATCACTAAGAATGGTGCAGCGCTCCTTGGTTTGACAGTCAAAAGATAACCATCTTGGACAGGCTGATTGCAAAACAAATCTACTAGAGCTCAAGAAGCAATCACGCTTTGCTGGATCATATTCAAATTCTATTTCCAATTTGCACCTGTCTGCAAAATAAGATCCAAGGCCCTTGAATTGTGAAAGGTTCATGAAGTTAAAAAAAAAAAAAAAAAAAAAGATGTTGGTCACTATTTAAATAGTTCCTCTATGTGGTCATCCAGACAGCTGGAGTAAACAACTACCATCTCTATAACACATCAGCCACGGGATCGCTCGACAGGAAAGCCAAGAAGCTAGTAGACGTTCTAGAAAGTAGATGTGCCTGCCAGGAACCCCAGTTATACTTCAGAACCTGACCACCTCGCCACAAAGTTGCCAAGGTATTGCAATAAATGATACTAGTTAGAATCCTCTGCTACATCAAGGCAGTTTTATTATTAAGGGAGATATTTTGCTTCCCCTACCATCCCTGGGCCAACAACTGTGGATGCCCATTGAAAAAGGACAAAAAGACTGAACCAACAGGAAAACACAATTAAGACTCATAAGCTTTGGGTCCAAATAAAGGACTGTCTGCAATCTGAAGGTTAAATTATGGAAGGCAGCTATATGCACACACACAGTGTCTATTGAGAGAGAGGAGAAGGGAGAGCAGGCAGGCAGGGGGAGAAGCAGAGAGAAGTGGAGGGCTCTGGCACGGCAACTCCAGGGACCACAACCTATTGTTCTATTTCAATGGCTGTTAGCCACTTACTGAGCAGAAAAGGTATCTGCTAAGGATCAGAAGAAATGTTGGTCCCTCAAATTCCTTAGAGGTCCACAAATGTCCTCTGTCCTTCGCTAGCCCACTGGCAACAGGAATACTTCAAGGATGAAGGAGTATGGCCCATGTAACGCTTAGGGAAAGGTGGAAATGGGTGAGAACAGAGAAACAAAGACTGGGCCACCAGGACTTGTATGGCAGGAAAAGTCTATCATTACCAGACGTCAGAATGAGTGGTGAAGACTCCATCCTTGAGTGACTCGGGAGACATCCAGCGCACAGGCAGCAGCCCTTTCCCTCCTTTGCGGTAATAGTCTGTCTCATAGATATCTCTCGTCATGCCAAAATCTGTAAGGTGGAGAGAAGGCACCAGAGTTACGCCATTGGAGCAGCTCTCGGGAAGAAGCAAAGATGTACCATCACTGCTGCAGAAGACACCTCACACCGTGTTCCAGGGTGAGACGCAGACGGCTCCACTTTCAGGACGCCGAGTATTAATGTTTGCAATGTTCTAATGTGGAAACAGCCAGGGATGGTTACTCACATGACAAGTAAACACCAAGAAATCTCTGCTCTTACATTTCTAACGTGACTCCTTTAAAGAGTTGATTCCTTTGTGTGTTGAAGATGATCGAGTCCCCCCATGTATCAGGAAAATATGTACTGCGGAGACCCAGAGTCATTTATTCTTAGTTTTAAAATCTGATAAAATTAAGGAGAATGTAGACACTTATTCACTTGGTAGCACTGCCCCATTGCCAGAGCAAAAAATATAGTTTCACTGCTTAAGAAGGGGGAAAATACTGAGAGTAATGATTCACGATAGAAAACTTATATAGTAAGATGCCTAAGACATGCTATCTACTAGGCCCCTGAAGCTATGACTCAATAACGTTCTTCACAATAATACTTCCAAAAAATTTCTTCCATTTTTGATGTGTCTAGAAGATGTCACGTAATTATGTTTGATGGCAGGTTTGCTTTATAATCCTAAATCATTGCTTCTTTGCCAGACTTTTATTTTCCACTCAATTGTACAACTGTTTCTTACCTGAACTCTCCTGTTCTCCTTGCCAGCGGAGAGGGCGGTTCTCCTTTTTAAAACGTTCATTCTTGTCTCTTAACTATGCCACAAAGAGGTAAGGCAACAAAAGCAAACAGAGAACCAAGTTCCTTGGATGCTAACCAACATAACCTCCTTGTACTATGCTAAGGACCATCACAGTGCCTCCAGGAAAATGACTTATCTGTAATCCAGGAGACACTGGGCACTGGAAAAACAGTTTTGAACCCCAGTGTAGAATATATAAATGTGAACTGCTAACATCTTATCTCAGAATTAACTCAGTGACATGCAAATGACAGGATTTGACTTTACTTGCACAAAAAGGGAAAAAGAAATCCTGGAGAAAAGCAAACAGTCTCTTCCTAAACACACAAAAAAATCTAAAATTCTAGAAAGAAAAACAAAGAAAACGTTGCTGTAACTACGCCACACAGTTAGAGAACAAACATAGCTCTGGCTGATTTGGATTTAACACGCACGTGGCACAGAAACATCTCACGCTGATGCGTGGACTAACCTCCTGCCACGTGCTGGGACGAGGGTCGGGAGGAGGCAGAGGAGAGCTAGCATTTACTGAGGACAGGCCACCTCCCAGTGTGTTCTTCCAACTGTCTTATGTGAACGGTTATATTAGTATCCCCATTTCAGAGATAAAGAAATTAAGGCTCACGGAACTTAAGACCCCTGTCCAAAGTCTCTCATCTGCTAATGGCAGAACAGGGATTAGATTTCAGGCTCACCTGAGTCCCCAGCCTCTGCTCTCCTCTGCGCTGGGGAAGGTGAGATGATTGGCATCTAGAGGAAACAATCTGAATCCCTGGGAGAAGCAAGGGGAGTAGAGAGGGCAGGAGGCAGCCAGAGTGGCTCTTCCCTGAGAACCCCAGCGCAGGCCAGCTGCTCCTGTCCTGCCCACCTCTCTATGGCTCTTCTTTCAGGCAAGGTGGGCTTCAAGGGGCAGCTGGTGTGCAGAACCTAGGGGGCCAAACCTAGGGTACACTGTGGGCCCTGAATAAGTAACACTGACAACTGAGCCATGTGGCTTCCTCTCAATCCGTGAAGCTTCTACAGACGAAAAGTCAGGACGTTCACCCCTACTGTGGAAGTCATTCTGGAAAAGATGCTCATTGTTCACTAACGGGGAAAACATTTCATTTAAGAAATATTACTAAAGGAAAAAACAATATTGCGAAAGGAAGGTGAACAATTCCAGAACAAGCAGTTCTAGAGCTAGACAAACAGGTTAATTTTAAATAGGTTTCTTAGCATGTAAAGTTTTCCCTGCAGTTTCTCAGGATGACAATTTGGTATTTTTCTGAACCACCAGATCATGGTGGGAAGATGAAGATCCTAGGAAAAGCAGGTGGTTGCCTGAGTACCCTGATGCTGTGTATGTTTTCATTAGGCAAACTCAAAGACCAAAACCAAAACACATACCTAAAGGCGGAATTAAATTTGTAACTGGTGATCAGACACCCCCGCCTTTTGAAAGCTTTGCGGCTGACCAGCTGTGTGTGTAAAACCCAGTAACTCTGTCGCTGTCACTGTCCTGCTCTGTGCTGGGGCTCCACTGCGAGGGTCCCTCAGCTCTTAGAAAACTCAGGGAGACTCCTGGGTGGGGGCAATGCTCCCTAGAAGTAGGAAAGCTGATGGGAAGGTAGACAGTTTGGATAGTGTCTTTTATTCCCCCATCACCTAAGAGTGATTATTTTTCTTGATTATTTCTGCATATAACCAATGCTTACAAATATTCTCCCAAGAGACGCCTCAAGAGCCAGGACTGGAGCCCTCAGGGTCCACGGCCCAGGCTCATCCTTGCCTAGGACCTGGAACACCGTGCCAATGCGTGGTCAGGATTCGAGCCAGCCCAGTGGGGTTTGTGACCGACTGTCAGCCAGAGACAATCACTTGATTTCCGAGAGTAAGCCTTTGCGCTTAAGGAATGCACTGAAAACCCTCTCCAGGGCCAGGGTAATGCCAACACTGTCCGACAAACATGTGCGGTGTGGGGTCTTTCTCAGACCTAGAGAGCTAAGGACACACCTCCAATTTTGACTGTGAAGTCTTCAGCCACCATGCAGTTCCGGGCAGCAAGGTCTCTGTGAACGAACTTGTTGGCGTTGAGGTATGCCATGCCGTCTGCAATCTCGCCTGCCATCTGAATCATCTTGCTTAGGCTTGGAGGTGCTAGGACTGGATTATTCTGTTGGAGATTAAAAAAAAAAAAAACTTACATGAGAATTTAAGAATTTTTTCCACCCCAAGTTCTTTCAGGATCTATAAACCCATCTTTGTTCAATCTGAGCATCATGGGTCATTCTGCTAAGAAACCAGGACTTGCTTGGAAGGAACGTGTCATTACGGAGACCATAGCATCTGCTTAGTGGTGAAGTCATGCGCCTGTTCCCGGCCACATCACACAGAGCTGCAGACAGAAACACCAATTAGCGCTCCTTGCAACCAGCATTTTCTATTTTGGGTAGGACAAAAATGATTTAAAGTGAAATAAGCAGTTTTTGATATTAAGGTTTCTTGGGTACTCAAATTCCTATTAGTTTATATGTTCCTTCCCGCCACCCCCCAAATCAAAGTACAGGTAAAAAGAGGAAGCACACATTACCAATGGCTTTATACTCACACAGTGTGGAAATAAGCAAATGTACTTCCTGTGTGTGTTTTATTTGGACTGTGTTTTGTTTCCCATATAATCATTGTGATAAATTATTTAATCTTTTTCTTTCCCTTCAACTTTCTTTTAAAGTGCAAAGATACAAGATGATTTTTTTCCCCTTGCAATGGGGCATTCCTTGGATTACTATTTTCCAAGGGCCCAGAGGAAAATAAGCACTTGACAATTAATTTAAGGCCAGCTGAATCTTACCTCTGAGGGGGACCAGTGTGAAACTGTGAAGAATAATATGGATAAGCATTTCCTCTTTGCAGAGGCGGGCAATATACTTGCTTTGGAATTGTAAAGAGCTACCCCCAAATAATAAATCCATTTGGAAAAAGGCTGTCTATTAAACATTTGCCAAAGACTCTCCATCCTAAAAAAGAATGCAACAATCTATCACTACCGCAGTTTAGATGCTGACTACTTCCTGCTTGTGCTGCTGTAGTAGATTTCACCTGGTTTCCCTGACTGCAAGGCATCTCACACAACACCGCCAAAGCTGTCTCTCTGACAGCTCCAATGCCTCCTCTTCCTAGCTCAAACCCTGTGGGGCCCAGAAGACATGCCTGGGCATTGTGGCAGGACTGCCTGGGCTCTTCCATGTGGGGATCACAACAGTGCCACCACTGGAAGATGGTCTGGACCACTTTACAGAGAGTGCCCAATGGCACCTGGCCCGGGGTCCACGCTCAGGGACAACGCTCAGGGAGGTGCTAATTTCCACTGAGAGCTGGCTTCTAGAAGCAGTATAGCAACTCTCCAACTACTACTAGGGGGCTTCTCAGAACTTGACACACATTTTAATTCTGAAGAGACTATCAAGACTCTGGTGATTTAAAATATTTATCACTGTGTTGGGTCCCTGTGTGTGATGCAAATGGTTAATGCACTCAGCTGCTACCTAAAGGCTGGAGGTTCGAGTCCACCCAGATATACTTCGGAAGAAAAGCCTGGCGATCTACTTCTGAAAAATCAGCCACTGAAAACCCTATGGATCAAAGTTCTACTTTGACACACATGGGGTCGCCATGAGTTGGAATTGACTTGACAACAACTGTTTTTTTTTTTTTGGTTTGGTACCACTGAGTTATCCGTGGAAGCTGCATCCTGTGGCTGAGGGTAAGCTCAAATCACCACTTCCTTTTACCTAGGAGCCTTACTTATATATGCTTCTTTTCCCCCTCAGGACCTAACATTTCCTTTTAACCTTTTCAGGGCTTTCAGTATGCAGAGAACGCTAGGAAATTTGCAGGTGAAATGTTAAGCATATGTTTGCAATACTTAAGTATTCGAGTTTTAAGTACAGGTGTTTACTATGAAATGGTCCTTCATAATTAACTTGAAAAACACAATCAACAAAAGGAACTTATTTTAAGCACTGGGAGACAGGGCTGACGTTCTCTCAGTTCATGCTGTGATATCACCATTCTTTCAGACACCTCAGAGGACAGAAACCTTTAATTTGTTTAGAGCTACTTAAGACACGCACACACTTAGTGAGTAAATAAGCCTAACTTACGGTAGGCCAAGTAGAATATTGTGGAACTGCAGGACAGGCACGTACATTTTTGTACTTGGCATGAGAAAGAAAGAAAAAGCTCCTATCTGACCTATCTAAAGTGAATTTGAGATCTGAAAAGGACTTCAGCAATCATCTTGTCCGAGCCTCTTACTTTACGCAGGAGGAAACTGAGGCCCAGAAGCCTGACCTGCTGCCTAAAGACTGAGGTAGCCAGCAGCAGAGCCAGAATGAGGACTGAGTTTCTGGATTTTTATGCTGTGCCTAAAGTTAGGGCAGGAGGGAGTGAGTGCTTCATCCGTCTCCAGGGTGCCTCTGATGATGCTGATGAGATGTACACCACCCTGTCTCCACCACCTAACAGTCTAGCTTTTTCTCTTCTGTGCTGGCTTGTGAATTACCAAAGTGAGCCAGGAAAGGGCACTAACTCCCCCAGGAGCCAGGGACCACCACGAGCGGAGCTGAGAGGGAGAAGCTGTGGGCTGCCCTGCTCGGCCTCGGTCCTCACCCAGCCTCATAGCCTGTGTGGAACCACAATCATCTGCTGTCGATATTAGAAGCCATGCGTGAACAGGCACGCACAAGTACAAGTAAGGAGTTGCTACTGGGGAGGCAATTGAGTTGCAGATTTAAAGAGGAAAACAGAACAGACTTACGTTAAAAAAGAGAAAGGCTACAGAAATTGAAAAACGGTACAGAAAGGGAAATTACGGCTTCTCGGGAATGCAAGCAGACACAACACTTACCCAACAAGCAGCAAAGTCAGGGTCAAAGACAGGCCTTCAGACCCGCTGAGGCAGCCAAATGAAAAGAGGGCTGTTGCTGATACTATTTCTAAACATTTATCTACCAGATTTTTCTTAGAATTGATTCATTATAAGTCATGCCTCCGTATGTTAAAAAGCTGGCTTGTAGGTTCATGCTGCAGAAGCGGACACACCACAGTGACTGCTGAAAAATTACGCAGGACTTTAGCAGGTCTGGAATTGGAAACGCATACCTCAAATTGCTATTTTTACTAGACTAAGGAGAGATGGTGCAGCTGAGGTGATTATCACTTAAAAGTGCAAGCAAGGCACTGACTTGAGATCAAGCTTGAAATGTGGATGCAGGGTTTGACAATTCCAGCTTCCTGGCTGACCATGTGAGGAAGTGGTGTGTATGTCTTTGTGTGTGTATATGTATGGGTGGGTGGGTGGGTGGGTGGCTGGGGGCTTGCTTGTGAATAAGTAGATGTCTTGTGTGCAGAACTGACTGGGGAATCACTCTAGAAATCTCCCAGAGGCAGCCAAGAATAAAGCCAACCTAACATTTACTGATAGAATGCCTGCCATGAACACGGTCCTGAAGTGCATGTTGTGTATGGGATGAAAAGCTGAACAAAATGGGGTAGACAGGGAATGCACACAGAGAGCCACGACAAGAGAAGCACTAGGAAATGAGAGCAGTGTGCTGAAAAGTTAGCAGAGGAGATGGTTGCTCCTGGCCCAGGGGATCAGTAAATGCTTCATGGAGGAAGAGCTCCTGACGCGGGTCTGGGAGGTGGATATTAGGGAAAGATTTGGGGCATAACCAGAGGTGGAGGGGACGTAGTAACAAAGGCACAGGGTGTTTAAGCAAAAGAGTATTTGAGGAATGCTGAGTACCTCTTGCAAAACATCAAGGACTACCTCTGGTTGGGAAAATCCTTTATATAAAGCAGCTGTAACCAAGCACGCCACGAGAAACATTAAATGATGAAAAGTAACTTGATTTATGGACACAATATTTTCCTGGCGGGGGGTTCTAAAGGAAAGAGAACACGCAAGAAAACACATGTGAAGTTGGTGAAAATAAAAACTAACCTCTATTTCTGGCCTCAGAGACCTGAGGTAACTTTTGAGATCCCCCCGTGTCATCAGTTCCATGATGACCAGCGTGGGCTGGCCCTGGGACACCACGCCCAACAATCGCACCTGGGAGGAACCAAAAAGAGAAGGACTCAGAGGGTGAGGGTTGACCATGTTGTTCCTCTGCCCCGACTGCTGTCTGTGTGGTGTGGGACCTGGGGGCCATGAGTAGAGCCCAGACTGGGAGGGCCAAAGGGCCCCATTGGCCATGGGCTGCATCATGTCTGGAACCAGCGTGCACACAGGTGCCTACTGGCAACACTCAGGGGATGGGGGAGCTACACAGAAGAGAGAGGGCGACACGCCAAGCCTGCAGATGAGGCCATGGGTGCACTGGGAGGCTCTGGGGCAGTGTTTTCCCTGTGTCAGACTTCGGCTTTTCAGGGACCTTCTCTTACCACATGGTGACAATTGAACTCCTTCATCACTGAAGCCTCGTTGAGAAATTCAATCCTTTCCCGCATGCTCGCAGCCTCGTTCACCGTTTTAATGGCCACCCGGGTTTCGGGCTCATCTTTAACCACACCCTTGGCAACTCCTTCATACACCATTCCAAATGACCCCTGCCCAAGCTCTCGGCTCATGGTGATCTTCTCTCGTGCTACCTCCCACTCATCTGGAACGTACACTGGAGGAGAAGAAAATGGAATTGGAAACAGGTATAGAAACGAGCCCCTAGACAGATGAGCTTTTGGGGGGAACTCTGGGCCAAAGATGCCATTTCCTCAAACCCACAAAGGAAAATATCAGGAGACACTGACATGGCTTCCTCTAAAATTTCCCCAAATGCTATGCATTTGAAAAGACAACTGTACTGTCAAATAATGGCAATTCAAATCTTCGAGAATTCCTAGATAATGCGAGGACACTAACAGCATATAAGAACCAGAAAGAAGCATAGAAGTCTAGGCTAGAAAGAAAGCAATGGGTCCCTCTCCTACTCCCATCACTTAAAATAAATAAACCATAACTTAAGAAAAGCAAATCAACTATAGGATGAAATGGACAACCAGGATTCTAGAAGGTTTGGATTTTACCTATATTCATCAACAGATTAAAACCCAAATCAGAAAAGAGGGGAGAAGGAGAAAGAGGGAAGTTTCTATTCTAGATTGCGGAAACGGTCAGAGGCGTGCATGGGGGCGGGGATGGGGCATGTGAACTACTCCTACTTTCTGAGTGAATCCAAAACAGGTGTTAGGATCCTCAGAACAGACTCTAGACCTGCACTTCCAATATGGCAGTCACTTGCCACATACGGCTACTGAGCACTTAAAATATGGCTAGTCCATTTTGAGATGTGCTGTAAATACTGAGTGGATTTCTAAGGACTTAGGATGCACACACAAAGAATGTAAAATACTTCAATAATTTATATATTGATTGCAAGTTGTAATAATAGTATTTTTATATACTGGCTTAAATAAAAGATACTGATCATTAAAATTTATTTTACCTGTTTCTTTTTACTTTTTTTAATGTGGCTACTAGAAAATTGAAAGTTACATAAGTGACTGGCATTATATTCCTATTGGGTAGCACTGCTCTAGTCTATGCAAAGGGTCACCTGGTCTTGCCAAAGACCCTTGGGCCTCCAGTGAGGTGCAGAAGCAACAGAGCTGCTGGCCCTGAAGGAAGTCTTAGTGGCCAGCGTGGAACACTGATGAGCAGAGGAAGAGTCCTGGCTCAGAAATGCATTCCGACTGGGAACCTGGGACTGCGCTTGTGTTTGCTCTTTCGCTTTCAGATATTACCCACAGAACTGCGCTGGATGGAAGAGAAGTGGTGGGCTGACAACTGTACTGCCAACATCACCACATCCCAAGTATTCACATCTAAGTGAAGTCTTAAAGGATTTTACAGTTTGAAAGGAAAGAGGTTTATAAATCAGGCCCAGGAACCACCACCAATTTATACCTCTGAGGGGTGTTCAGTATGGACTACATTCATCAATCTCAAAGTTTCTTTCACGTACATTATGTATTTCATAGTAAAGATGTATTTAGAAATTTCACAAATAAAACTCTACCCTCCATACGGCTTAGAAGGTTTGCTCCTTTGAAAAAGAGACCAATGCTTGCTTGCAAGGGTAAGCCTGCAAGACAACCCGACAGATAAGAGTCTTTATAACAGCCCTCAGAAAGTATAAAAGGACGCTGTCTATATCCATTTATCTCTGAAAATTCAGGCTTGGTTTTAATCAGAATTAACTATGTAGTATGGCAAAAAACATGGAGTTAAAACCACTCAAATGCATTCCTTGGGTGGTCCCTGAAGTCAATAACCTCAATTCTTCTCTCTGAATTCACCCTCACAGCTGACTTTCACCAGAAAGCCTAAGCTCCACCAGGCGGCCGAGGTTTCTGTGCACAATGTTATCAGCACTTTCCTGTAGGGGATTTGCAGTGTTCTCTAGAGAATGGGGACATGCAGATTAGCTTTTAGAGAAAGAAGTTTTTTAAGCACTTTTGAACTGTAATGTCATTTTCTCGCCCCTTGAGGAAACTGGCTGTATGGTTTGTCAAAGGCTGAATAAATTAAGTTCAAATGAGGTTATAGTGTTCCCACCTGTTGGCCTGGGTGACAATAAATATGTGTTTTGGTTTTTAAAGAAGGATCAAGACATATTATAAAAGCATCTCTGGAATGACACCATGTTTGAATTCTAATCATCATTAGATAAGCTGATTTTATTCTATTAATGCTTTCCCTAAACTTCCTGGACACTTCACAGTCAGAGCTACAAGTATCAACTTTCTGTGCTTCGTTTAAAAGCAGAGTGGATTCTCTAGAATGGTCTTAACAGGATCCCACCCTTTCAGAGAGGGGAAGGGGTAGCCTTGCACTTTCCCTATAAATTCCCATTTAACTGTGTGATGAACTCCCTACCTCACTTGATTCCTTTCTCTTTTTTCAAAGCTATTATTTATACGATCAACAAATACATATCTTCTTATTGTTTTTTAAAAAAGGGAAATAGCCTCTCAACAATTAAGTATTCTTGGAACTTCGGTGTATATCCTTCCAGAATGTTTTCCATGCCTTATATACATACACAGCTATATATAAGTATTTGCCTATATAAAAACACAACTTTATGGAAACAGGAATAATGTCACTATTTTGCACCTGCTTCTCATTTACAGGAGGCTGCTTTTGATGGGCTTTCTCATAAACTTGACTGAATCAGAAATGTTTAAAGAACCCAGAGTACCTTACCCACCGATACAGTGCTTTTCTTATGTTTTCTCATTTGATCTGGATAATCAATTAGAATAATCATGAGTCTTGCTTTATTTCACATCTCCTGCATGTCTACTTAAGGAGCCCTGGTGGTACAGTGATTAAGCGCTCAGCTGCTACTGAAAAGGTCTGCAGTTTGAACCCCCAGTTGCTCCACGAGAGAAGGATGTGGCGATCTGTTTCCGTAAAGATTTCAGCCTTGGAAATGCTATGGGGCAGTTTTACTCTGTCCTACAGGGTCGCTGTGAGTCAGGATCATGTCAATGGCAGTGGGTGGGCATATCTACTTGCAATTCTGAAGCAAGAAGGAAGCAAATACTTTTTCTGAACACACCCCCCCAATTTCACGCACTTATTTATTCATTTGACAAATCTGATCCATGCCCCATGTGCGCAAGCTTCACTACCTTGCCCTGAGGACCTCACAACCCTTTCCCATGGTGACAACATTTCACTGGCCAAAAGATACAGTAGAAAGAGCCAGGGGCTGCGTTCTAACCCTGGCTTCTCAAGTGACTAGCTATGGGATGCTGAGCAAGTTTCTTCTCTGAGTCTCCTAAGAAAACTCACTTTATGGGCATATAAGGATTGAATGAGATGTTTGTAAAAGCCCCTAGAAGGGTACCAGTTAATGGAAATCCTGGTGGTTTAGTGGTTAAATGTTACCGCTGCTAACCAAAAGGTTGGCAGCTCAAATCCATGAGGCGCTCCTTGGAAACTCTATGGGGCAGCTCTACTCTGTCCTATAGGGTCACTATGAGTTGTAACCGACTCGACGGCAATGGGTTTGGTGTTTTTTTTTGGTTTTAATATCGCTAGACCTACAAACTGACCACTCTTACTTAAAAGATTTGTATTTAAGCAGACAAGGAAGAAGAGATAGCAAAAAGGCATTCTTTTAATTGAGTATGACCCAGCTTTCAAGTCAACTTCTTGAGGCCATTTCACTAAATGACCCTTATTGGTTATTACCAAAGGGAATCTGAATGGGTCCAGAGGGTATAAACTGGGTGATCCAAATGAGGAGGGAATGACAGAAAAATTCCAAGACAAAAAGAGCAGAGAAAACTTAAGTGGTCAAAGAAAATTGCAACGATATAAAACTCAAGCTGAAACCAGTTTATAAAGGACATTTTGGTCAGCTGCAGGGAGTCCTCTGTTGTTGTTAGACGCCACTGAGTTGGTTCCAACTCACAGCAACCTTTTGCACAACAGAACGAAACACTGCTGATCTTGCACCATCCTCACAATCATTGCTATCTTTGAGCTCATTGTTTCAGCCACTGTGTCAATCCATCTCATTGAGGGTCTTCCTCTTTTTTGATGACCCTCTACTTTACCAAGCATGGTGTCCTTCTCCAGAGACTGATCCCTTCTGATAACATGTCCAGAGTACATGAGATGAAATCTCGCCATCCTCTCTTCTAAGAAGTATTCTGGCTGTACTTCTTCCAAAACAGATTTGTTCGTTCTTCTGGCAGTCCATGGTATATTCAATATTCTTTGCCAACACCATTAATTCAAAGGCATCGATTCTTCTTCAGTCTTCCTTATTCATTGTGTAGCTTTCACATGCATGAGGTGACTGAAAATACCATGGTTTGGGTCAGGCGCACCTTAGTCCTCAAAGTGACGTCTTTGCTTTTTAACACTTTAAAGAGATCTTTTGCTGATTTGCCTAATGCAATATGTCGTTTGATTTCTTGACTGCTGCTTCCACGGGAGCTGATTGTAGATCCAAGTAAAATGAAATCTCCGACTTCAATCTTTTCTCCATTTATCGTGATGTTGTTATTGGTCCGGTTGTGACGATTTTTGTTTTCTTATGTTGAGGTGTAATCTACACGAAAGGCTGTAATCTTGGATCTTCATCAGTAAGTGCTTCAAGTCCTCTTTGCTTTCAGCAAGCAAGGCTGTGTCATCTGCATATTGCGAATTGTTAATGACTCTTCCTCCAATCCTGATGCTGCGTTCTTCTTCATATAGTTAAGCTTCTCAGATATTTGCTCAGCATACTGACTGAGTAAGTATGGTGAAAGGATACAACCCTTGCACACACCTCCCCTGATTTTTAACCACGCAGCATCCCCTTGTTCTGTTCAAATGACTGCCTCTTGGTCTAGGTACAGGTTCCTCATGAGCACAATTAAGTGTTCCGGAATTCCCATTCTTGGTAATGTTATCCATAATTTGTTATGATGTACACAGTCAAATACCTTTGCATAGTCAATAAAACACAGGTAAACATCTTTCTGGTATTCTCTGCTTTCAGCCAAGATCTACTTGACATCAGCAATAATAACCCTCATTCCATATCCTCTTCTGAATCTGGCTTGAATTTCTGGTATTTCCCTGCTGACATACTGCTGCAACCATTTTTGAATTATCTTCAGCAAAATTTTACTTGCATATGGTATTAATGATATTGTTCAATAGTTTCTGCATTCTGTTGGATCACCTTTCTTTGGAATTGGCATGTATATACATCTCTTCCAGTTGGCTGGCCAGATAAGCTGTCTTCCAAATTTCTTGGCATAGACAAGTGAGTGCTTCCAGTGTTGCATCCATTTGTTGTAACATCTCAGTTGGTATTCTGTCAATTCCTGGAGACTTGTTTTTCACCAATGCCTTCAGTGCAGCTTGGAAATCTTCCTTCAGTACAATAGGTTCTTGATCATATTCTACCTCCTGAAATGTTTGAACATCGATCAATTCTTTTTGGTACAGTGACTCTTGTGTATTCCTTCCATCTTCTTTTGACATTTCCTGCGTCGTTCAATATTTTGCCCATAGAAATCTTCAATATCTCAACTTCAGGCTTGAATTTTTTCTTGAGTTCTTTCAGCTTGAGAAATGCCAAGCGTGTTCTTCTCTTTATTTTTTTTTTAACTCCAGGCCTATGCACACTTCATTATAATACTTTACTTTGTCTTCTAGAGCCATCATTTGAAATCTGTTCAGCTCTTTCACTTAATTTTTTCCATGTGCTTGAGCTACTCTACGTTTAAGAGTGTCCTCTAACTAGATGTTTACAATTAGACAGCTTTTTGCATTCTAGCATAAAATCTTAACCAATTAAGTAAACTGATTATTATGTGGGACCTCCACCATCTCTGAAGCCTTTTTCCCTTGGGGCATCCCATACAGTTCCAGAATTTTTGACATATTCAGTGAACTGCTGAAAACTTTGATTAAAAAAAAGAAAGTGCTAACGAAGCCACATCTGAGGCCAAAGGTACCTCAGTAATGCAAACCACATCCCCTAAATTAGCAACACTCATGAAAGCTCTCCATCTGGGCCCTCCAGGCAGAGAATGTAGCTGGGAAGCTTACCGTCGGCTGCGCTGAAGTACTCTGGGTTCACAGAGGCATACAGCACTCCATTCCCCAGCCTGCTGTTATTTCTGTCAGAAAGGATAAAATGGAGATTTAAAAAAAAAATATTATCTACACATTTCTGTATATACTTGCATCTTTGTGACATCAGTTTAACTGGTTGTGGTTGAGTGAGGCAACTTTACTGCTTATCACAAGTCTTCCAGACATGTACAATTCAGGCCCAATTGGACCAGCAGACGTGTCCTAACACATCTTTAGCACCTTCAGTGGTCTCAGACTAGAGCTTTTTAAGAAATATTAGTTTCTTCGCTTCATTGGAAACAAAAAGGCTTATTTGATTGAGAGGACTCATATCAAGTTTGGAAAAGCTTTACATAAGGAACAGTACCTGCGTGATAAGCGTACCTGGTGAGGAGGACAGTCTATCCCAGTCTGGTTTTCAATCTATAAAATTCCTTAAAGTCCTCAAAAAGATTACCTGAACTCGGGTTCAAATCATCAAACCACTTACCACAAAACATGACTTCACATTTCCCAGAGACACTCACCTCTTCCTGTGGAAGACGTACAGCATTATAACTAGCCCTCCCACTATCAACAAGGCAGCCACAGGCACGGAAATGATCAGATGGATGAAGTTTTCATACGGTCTTACTGCAGAAACAAGGGAAAATGAGAAAATGTCACCAGGTGAACAACCTGTTCCTTTCATTTTTTAATATTCAGTTGGAAGTATGAAAAAAATGCCAGAAATATTCCTTTATTGAACTACTATGAACTAAGAATTCCTAAAGAGAAACATTATAAAAAACATAAGTTATTTCAAAAGAAATTAAATAAGTGGAGACAGAGAAATATACTCAATTGTTAAAGTTCAGTGCATTCTGGTATAATAGTTCAAATGATGAACTGAGGTTGAATAATCTTTGTGTGCAGTTTAGTGACTGCTTAATGGAAACCCACATACTTGTTAAGATAAAATGAACAGTGATTGTTACGTAGAGAGAGCTCAAGCCGTACTCAAGCCTTCTGACCTGCATCTGTCTTAAGACAGCTCCAAAGACAATTAGAGAAAACAAAAGCTTGGATAGTACCTGTTATAGATTAGATTGTGTCTCCCAAAAAAGATATGTGGAAGGCCTAATCCTTGTTTTTGTGAATTCGACCTTGTTTGGAAATATGGTCTTTGAAGATGTTATCAGTTAAGTTAATTTGAAGTACACCAGAGTAGGATGGGTCCTAATCTAATCTGTACCACTGGAACGCTCCTTAGATGAATTAGATGGTGAGACTCTGTCCTGCTTACTTTGGACACATCCTAAGGAAAGACCAATCACTAGAAAAGGCATCATATTTGGTAAAGTAGAGGGTCAGCAAAAGTGAGGAAACTCTCAATGAGATGCACTTGACAATAGCCTCAACAATGGGTTCAAATATATCAAAGATCATGGAGATGGCACGGAGCCCTTGTGGCACAGTGATTAGGAACTCAGCTGTTAACCAAAAGGTCAGCAGTTTGAATCCACCAGCTGCTCCTCAGAAACCATACGGGGCAGCTCTACTTTGTCCTATGGGGCTGTTATGAGTTGGAATTGACTCGAAGGCAAGGGGTTTGGTTTTTTGGGAGATGGCACAGGATTGGGCAATGTTTTATTTTATTATACATAAAGTCACCATGAATCGAAGACTTGATGGCAGCTAACAACAACAATCCGATCTGAGTGAAGAGAAGAGAAGAGAAAAGAAGAGACACAGAGACACACGGAGGGAAGACAACCATGCAAAGACGGAGGTAGAGACTTGGAGTGACACATCTACAAGTCTAGGACCGTCCAAGACTGACTGCCAGCCATAACCAGAAGCTAGAAGAGAGGCATGGAACAGATTCTTTCTTAGGGACCTCAGAAAGCTCAACAGGGCAGATACTCTCATTTTGGACTTTTAGCCCCAGAACTGTGAGGCAATGATTTTCTGTTCTTCTAAGTCACCTAGTTTGTGGTACTTTGTTATGGCAGCCCTAGGACGCTAGGACAGCAGTCCGTGCCAAATCTGCTCTGAATTCTCCCTAGACATTACGATCTAGTCATAGATATGAGACACTGCGCCCTCTGCAGCACTTACTCATAACTCTCACCAACCACTTACATGACAAATGCTAGGCTGGGCAATGGGGATGATGAATCACACTCTTGAAATATTATGCCAGACACAAAAATCAGTAAGTAGACAGGTAGCTTAACAACTAGAAAAGTGGACCACACAGATGGTGTGGATGCAGAGAACAAGGCAGAGGGAAAGAAAGGAGTCAAAAGAAGCATCCCTTTAAGCCTGAGCTTAAAGGAGAAAGACACGCTTTCCTTGGGGAAACATAGCTTTCCAAGTAGAGGAATGGCTTAGAAATGATACTGGAGAGAAGTTAGGGCTGGCTCACAAGGGGCCTTGTGCATGCTAAGCAATTTGAACTCCATTCTGCAGATTAAAAGGAGCCAGTGAAAGCTTTCGAGCCCGGGAGTGAGTTGATGTGATTTGGGCATCACAGAGGTGGCTGCACCAGGACAGCCTGGAGGGGTGGCAACAGGGAGGGGTACCTGCCATGCCTAAGGAGTGCCAGGGGGAGCTAAGCATATTCTGTGCCACCCCGTTCAGACCTCATGAAGAAATCACTGCTCCCTTTCTACAGCCGTGGAAGAGAAGACTCAGAGGGAAGGACTCTGTCCCAAGGTGACACAGGTAGCTGGTAAGTCATGCCTGCGACGAGAACCCAGGCTTCCTTACCCACAGCTCGTATGTTCCACGTGAAGCAAGCTCCCTGGAGGCTCTGAGTTCAGGCTGTGTTGACGGCCAAGGAGAGGCTGAACTGAAGACAGACTTGACAGGCCGAATCAATGGGACTTGGGTTTGAAAGGAAATAGGAGGTTGGCCAACAACGCTAACATTAATCCAAAAAACACAAAATAATAAACGCTGGAGAGGTTGTGGAGAGATTGGAACACTTACACACTGTTGGTGGGAATGTAAAATGGTACAACCACTTTGGAAATCGATTTGGCGCTTCCTTAAAAAGCTAGAAATAGAAGTACCATACAATCCAGCTATCCCGCTCCTTGGAATATATCCTAGAGAAATAAGAGCCGTTACACGAATAGATACACGCACACCCATGTTCATTGCAGCACTGCTCACAATAGCAAAAAGATGGAAACAACCTAGGTGACCATCAACAGATGAATGGATAAACAAATTATGGTATATCCACACAATGGAATACTACACAATGATAAAGAACAATGATGAAGCCGTGAAACATCATATGACATGGTGGAATGTGGAGGGCATTATGCTGAGTGAGTTTATCAGTCACAGAAGGACAAATATTGTATAAGACCACTATTATAAGAACTCAAGAAAAGGTTTAAACACAGAAGACAATATTCTTTAATGGTTACAAGGGAGCATGAGGGTTATTCACTAATTAGATAGTAGATAAGTATTATCTTAGGTGAAGGGAAAGACAGCACACACTACATGGGAAGTCAGCACAACTGGACTAAACCAAAGCTAAGCAATTTCCTGAATACAATCAAACACTTTGAGGGACAGAGTAACAGGGGTAGGGATCTGGGGACCATGCTTTCAGGGGACATCTAGGTCAACTGGCATAACAAAGCTTACTAAGAAAATGCTCTGCATTCTACTTTGGTGAGTTGCATCTGGGGTCTTAAAAGCTTGCAAGTGGCCATGTAAGATGCATCAATTGATCCCAACCATCTGGAGTAAAGGAGAAGGGAGTAAAAGACACAAGGAAAGTATTAGCCCAAGACACAGAAAGAGCCACATAAACCAGAGACTTCATCAGCCTCAGACAGAACTAGATGGTGCCTGGCTACCACCAATGACCACCCTGACAGGGAACACAAGAGAGAGTCCCGGATGGAGGGGCAGAAAGGTGGGGTGCAGAACTCAAATTCTAGTAAGAAGACCAGACTTAATGGTCTGACTGAGACTGGAGGAACTCCGGAACGCATGGCCCCTGGATTCTCTATCAGCCCAGAAATTAAACAATTTCTGAGGCCAACTCTTCAGACAGGGATTGGACTGGTCTGTGGGAAATAAAGGGATACTTGTGAGAAGTGTGCCTCTTAGCTCAAGTAGATACAAGAGACTAAATGGGCAGCTTCTGTCCAGAGGTGAGATGGGAAGGCAGAGAGGGTTAGGAGCTGGTTGAATGGACACGGGAAATACAGGGTGGAAAGGAGGAGTGTGCTGTCACAGTATGGGGAGAGCAATTAGGGTCACATAACAATGTACGTATAAATTTTTGTATGGGAGACTAACTTGAAATGTAAACTTCATCTAAACTACAACAATAAAAAAAAAAGAAAAAGAAAAAGGGGGGTTGGAAAGAAAGAAGAGTTAGGGATGCCTGTGAAGTTCCAGGCTTTAGTGAAGAGTGGATTATGGGGATCATTAACTCAGCTAAGGAACAAAGAAGAAGAGAGAGACGTTTTGAGGGCAGCGACCGTGATTTAGTTTTGTGCATGAGGAATTTGAGGGACATCCTATGGGACATCCAAGTAGAGATATTTAAGTAGAAACGGGCTTGAAACTCATTGGAGACCAAGTTACATCTATTTTAAGTCATCCATTGATGAGTATTCTGCCACTACAAGCTATCATTATTTTTAAAGGCCATTAAAGCTATTTTTATTTTTAAATTAAAAGTATTTTTATTAAACATCTCTCAAAATAGATGCAGGCTCCTGTTTTCCAATTCCTGAAAATACCCACAAGTTATCATTGCCATTGGGAAGCTAGCAGATATTTCTTTTTGCCCCTGAGAACTATTTCTTGTATTTCTATCACTTATACTACCGGTCAGGTTGTACTGTGTTCTTTTTGAAAGTCACATTTCAACAGGGACATGGAGAAACTGGAACACATCCAGAGAAGAAGAACAAAATGATTAAATGGCTAGAAAATTGGTCTATGAGATTCAACTACAAGAGAAGGCCAGAAGACCTATGATTATTTAGTCTGAAGAAGAGATGTCTGAAGGGTAATTTAATAGTATTCAAGCCCATGAAGGGTTTCTAAAAGGAGAGCAGTTGCCAGAGAGCTTCCAAAGCTTCCACCTCCTCTGAGAATTAAACAAGAGGAAATGAGACTAAACTGTACCAGGAGACAGTCTTGTTTGACATGAGGAAAAACTTCCTGACAGCAAAGCAGACATGCCGATTTAATTTCCTCATGGTGCATGCCAATGCCAACTTCTGCTGGAAAAATTCCATCAGAGGGGCTCTTGGATTTCCCATTGGCATACTAGCACTCACATGGTTAAAAAGGGAGCAGCAACAGAAGATGCTACCTCCGAAGATAAGCTGAGTTTACTTGACCCCAGAAGCCAAGCCTGCTATTTCAAAGAACATAGCCCGAAGACAAGACCCCCAAACCCAGGCCCTACTGCTAGAAGACTGACACCCAGAGCGAGATGGCAAAGAAAAAGTAAGCCATTACTCTGGGTGGGGCTGTGTGAATACTGTGATCATTTCAGGCACTAGAGTAGGCCCACTGGTGAGACTAGGTTAAGTGGACTAAATGGAAGAATTCAGGCTATTTTAATACGTGAATTACCTGCCTAAGACATGTGGGGTAAAGAATTTAGCTTAACCCAAAGTAAGGTGGCCTTTTACCTTGGTGCCTGAGAAATAATCCTGGGAGTAACTGAAGTATTTTTAATAACCTCCAGACCAGACCTGAAGATGTGTGCTAACAAGCAGAGGCTGGCCATACCAAAAAAGACTCACCTTAGAGGCCAATTATCAACTAACTTCAGTAGTCATGATTTAGCCCATCATGCATATGTTACGAGGCTCGTTCATGACTGGCTGATAGAAGCTCTGAACACGGAGGATGGAAGAGCTTCCTGGTTGGTGAAGGGTGGGTGATTTGCCCTCTTTGAGGCACAGAAGCTCTGCTTTGGGAACCCTCCCAGACCTCACCCATGCGTCTCTCCCTTATGATGATCCTGATCTGTATCCTTTTACTATAATAGATCTATAATCTAAGTATAGTACTTTCTGTGAGTTCTGTGAGTTGTTCCAGTGAATTAGGAACCCAAAGAAGAAGGAGGAGCCAGCAGGTGAAAGCGAGGGTGTCATGGGGACTCCTGAGCTTGCGGCTAGTGTCTGCCTATTATGGTAATCTAAAAGGTGGGGTCCTTTTTACCTGTAAGACCTGCCCTAGCTCTGGGGGCCAGTCACAGACAGTGTGCCACATGGGTGGCTGGTGTCAGAAACGATTGAGAGGTGCGAAGCAGGGACTGGACCAATCTCCACATATCGGGGATTGGATTCATACTGATTCTTATCCATGAAGTTATCCATGAAGCACCTGTTTACCAGTATAACCTGAGCCCAGGCACAGTGTCAGGCACATAAAATGTGGCCTCAGAGTTTGCAATTCTACACATGTCTAGCCTTCTCTTGGTATCTGTCACTATTAGGATTTTCAAATATCATGCACTTCTTAGGATATCAGGTGCTGACCAGGTGGAATACTGGATCTGTTAAGTCCTTCTTTTAAGCCAGATTCCAGATCAGAGCAGTACGAATGCAGACACCAGGAAGGACCAGCCCAGTGGGGGCTGTCCAACAGACCCCAAAGTACCATCACTCTGCAAGGGTGGGCATTTTTTGTGGAGAACAGTAGGTAACAGTGTTATGCCAAATTTGACCCCATTATCTAAACATGAAATAATCTAAAAAAATTGGGTTTCTAATAAGAAATAATGAAAACTCAATATGGAAATAATGAGGAATGTATACTTCACCAAGTAAAATGCTAACTCTTCTTGATCAAACAACCAGGATGTGGCCACTGTTGTGCTTATATACTTTGTAAGATTCCGTTTTAGAATGTGAAATTATCATCCAGAATGGTCTTCTAAAAAACATCCATCTTGTCAATGGTTTAAGCATAAACTCCCAACATGACCCAGTCTCTGTACCCATCTGTGAGCACTGTATTTGTATTTTACCAAAAGGAGAAGAATGGGTCAGCCTGAGGTGCTGATATGGAGATTCCCGCCATGGAAGCAGGCTGGACTAGGTGACCCCTAAGGTTTTTTTTCAACCTCTAGGATTCTAAGTCCTACAGTCCAAACCAGCAATGACTGACTAGGCAGAAGAGCTGGTATGGTCAATTCAATACTTCATAAAACAGCTTAGAAATCAATTAAGTTGAAAGCAAACGTCTCTTGCTGACTCTATAGTGGCTGCACCATCTCAAAAGAGGGCACAGGCCTCACCTTGACTGTAAAATGAGGTAGGTGCTCAAAGTTCAGCTTCCCCCAGCCTGAGTATGACCCCCTCCCCCTTAGTGTGACCTTTCAGAATGCTAGCCAACACTGTTTGAACAGAAAATCTGAAAATAAGAAAGCCACAACCCAGGCTTCCTGAATCCCAGCCCAACCTGCTTCTGGCTTTACCACAAAATGCCCTGCAAAAACCTTACCTTTGGTTGGGACATAGAAGAACACAGGTTCTGTCCACGACCCATTCCCAGAAAGGGAAGTGGCCTGAATCCGGGCCGTGTAGTTCCCTGGGTTTAGCCGGTTAAGCTTGGCCCCTCCATACTTCCGGTACTCCTGTCTGGAAACACACTCCCGCTGATCCTGGGGGACGTAAAACACACACGTCAATTCCCCTGACATGTAAAAAACCTGTGCTTCCATCAAAGCTCACTGCACCATGACTCCGTCTACCTGACAGTGAGCCATATCTTCAATCAAAGGGAAGAAAGCAAGTGTTGCAAGACAGTCCTCCAGTAACCTTAAGCACACCCAAGTTTTAACCAAAACTTTTTTGTAAACAAAAAGAACTCTAGAGGGATTAAAAGTTATTAAAACAAATAGCGTATGTGGTAAGGTCATTTTCTGCAATGAAACAGGTATCTACTTGAGGGTAAGACCAAGTCCATCTCCTTGATAAATCAGTTGCCTTGGAGTTGACTCTGACTCATGGTGACTCCCTGTGTGTCAGAGTAGAACTGTGCTCCACCACAGGGTTTTCAATGGCTTGTCCTTTTGGAAGAAGATTACCAGGCTTTCTCCAGAGGACTGCAACTGCCAATCTCTTGGTTAGCAGCCGAGCATGTTAACCATTTATACCACTCAGGGGGCTCCATCTCCTTGCATGCTCCTGTTGTATTCCCCTGAGAATTCTAAAGTTGGAAGAAAGATCTAAACTCTCATTGATTTACCATATTAATTTATTTTTTTAAGTCTTAGTTAGCCAGGATGTAAGCTGTGTTGTAATGTAATATATGCCATAAACTGTGAGAGACACACACCCAAACCTGGACTATTGCTCCAGTCTTACCTCGACTTGTGATCCATATTTTATTTCATACATTAGTATCAATCCATTGGGATTCTCAGGTTCTGGCCACTTTAGAAAGATGGAGTTTTCAGGCCTTGACTCCCAGGTCACTGGCCCAGGAATGTCATCTGCTCCTTCTGTAAAGCAATTTACATAAGTGAGAAAGCCAGATTCGGGTCCCCAAGAAGGGAGACCAACACTGGGCTAACCCGTGCGAACCGGATGCTCACGTACAGCAATCTCTCTCTCTTTCTCTGTGTATGTATGTACCTGTATCTACATATCTTACTGGTTCTGTTTCTCTAGAGAACACGAAGACAGGAGTGATGGTCACTCTGAGTCAAACCAGTTTTCCTGGGGATTTCACTATATCTGTGAGAATTCAGGAAAGGCCAGACTAACCTACCTGTGCACAAATAGGGAAATGGACAGGTGAATGCACTACGTGAACCAAGGAGAACAAGGAAAGCTGACCTTGGAGGTGAGCTCACTGCTCTTAAGTACTTTCTATGGAGAGCATGGCACAGGAGCAATGTCACTGTGAGAGCAATGTCACCACAGGAACAGTGACCACGGGAGCAATGCCACCACAGAAGCAATGCCACCAGAGAAGTAATGTCACCACAGAAGCAATGCCACCACGGGAGCAGTGTCACCACAAGAACAATGTCACCACAGAAGCAATATCACCACGGGAGCAATGTCACCACAGGAACAATGTCGCCACAGGAGCAATGTCACCAGAGGAGCAATGCCATCACAGGAACAATGCCACCACAGAAGTAATGTCACCACAGGAGCAATGCCACCACAGAAGTAATGTTACCACAGGAGCAATGTCACCAAAGGAACAATGTTACCGTGAAAGCAATGTCACCACAGGAGCAATGTCACCGTGAGAGCAATGTCACAACAAGAGCAAAACCAGCACAAGAGCAGAGGGTATGGTCCCTGGGCTGCTGGTTTACCGTGCTGCCTACCAACGATCACACATTTGTTAGCAAGCAGGACTGAGACTGTGTCATTGCCCTGGGTGTCAGCCTCTGTGTCCACACAACGCTATCTTCCCCACTGTGAGGCTGTGAGAGAGGCAGGAGCGGGGCAAGCTGGATCATGCCATACCTGCTGGCATGGTCCTTGCAAAGACGAAGTTGGAGGCGCTGCAGCCCAGCTTCTCAGCCTCATGATTGCAGCTGTGAATATCGATGCGGTACAAAGTGAAAGGCCGCAGGTTTGAAATGACGGTTCTCTCCTTGTTATCCACTCTGCTCTCAAAGAAGGGGAACTCTGTCTCCAGCTCTTCTGGGTCTGTGACGTTGTAGGTATCTGCCATCGTGGTGTTCCTGCTCCGGCTGGACGTGGTGGTGTTGGCAACTTGCGTGACATCCCTCCGCTTCCTCTCAGGTCTGCAAGAAAAAGGGAAACTGGGCTCTTAAGTGCTTCTATCTCTTTTGCCTTTTCTGTGACTTGGAAAGGAGTAACAGAGAGAAAAGAGGGCAGCTGACTACCAGCAGGCTTCTTGCTGTCCCTTATTTGTCTAGAAGGGAAAATCCTGGAAGGGGGAAGCAGGGCGTCTGGGGAAAGCGCCTCTAGCTCACAGTCTGCTCAGCCTACACAAAAACAGTCACCACCTCTGGGCAGTGACGTGCCAGGCCCCCACTACAGCATAAACTGGCCAGGGCAGGGCGATGTCCCAACACAGATATGCCCACTCCAACAGGCAGAAAACTCCAAGGTCAGGGCATGTGCCCATGCCTGAGTACACTCATGTTCACAATTTTAGGGAGCAGGAGCGGGGTTAGGAAATGAAGCTGATAATCTACCCATCCTCACACCCTAGAAGCCAGCCAACCCTCCTGGAAGGGAAGAACTTAAGACACCACATTTATTGCTAGGGAGACCTTTTTTTTAATGCATACCATAATTAATTTCTTGCCTTCCCTTAAATCAACACAACACACATACCCACTTGCATCTGTAAGTAAGAAGTTGCTTAGGTTTAATCCTCTGCAAAATAATACTGGGTGAAAACTTCTCTGCCATTTAACTGGGATGATACCATTAAGTCCACTCGATAGTTTACTGATTTATTTATGAACACCACACTTCTGGGGACTGCATAGCTGTTACTGTTGACACCGAGTCAAGGACTGGGGACGAAGAGAACACAGAATATCAAGCAGGAAGACAAACTCTGGGGTAAACAGAATGGCCCTTAAGTAATCTTTTGTAAACAGCTACATTGCCAAATGGGGTGTCCAACAGCAAGCAGTACAACCAACTTCCCTCACTCCCACTCCATGATACCACCTACTGTTATTGGAAAGTCTTTCACTTCTCAAAGTCTGTCCGTGTTTCAGCTAGTTAAACCAAACTATGTGACTTAAAAAATAAAGGAAGCAGTAAATGAAAGGCATTCACCACCAAAATTCAATGTCACAGAGCAACCTGCCAAACTCTAGCTTCCATTCTACTTGAAAACAGAGTGGGTGTATCGTACAACGTATAACGTACTAAATCTAACGTAACTGGTTCTAGACTCAAAATGTTCTTGGAATGAGTGCAAGAAATAAAAACCATTTCTGGACAATTTCACAGTGAGACAGAGAGCCCTCCGCTGTGACTCAGTCATCATGTCATCTGCACCCTCCTTTTCCCCAGGGACTCGTGGGGGCTTCAGACTGTAAGAGAAAAACGAGCACTCTGATGTGTTCTCCCCAGCCCCTCCCATGACTGTCTGTACTGTTTCTATCAGTCAGCAGTCCATAACTTACAGTTCCCCTCTGTCCAACTGCCATCGAGTCAACTCCGACTTGTAGCAACCCTGTAAGAACAGAGTAGAACTGCCCCATAGGGTTTCCAAGGAGCGGCTGGTAGATTTCAACTGCCAACCTTTTGGTTAGCGGCCGAGCTCTTAACCACTGTGCCACCAGAGCTCCAGTCCCCTCTGTAGGAGGCATAAAATAAAGCAAATATTAAGCTATAAAATTGTGGCCTCTGACAATGGAGCAAAATATGGTATTTATATACATCAAATAAAAAGAGATAGTAGCAAGCTGAGCTTGTCTTAAAAAAAAACAAACCAAACCCATGCCGTCAAGTCAACTCTGATTCATGGCGACCCCACGTGTTACAGAGTAGAACTGCTCCATAGGGTTTTCTTGGCTGTGATCTTTATGGAAACAGATCACCAGGTCTTCTGTGGTGCCGCTGGGTGGGTTTGAACCAATTACTTTCAAGTCAGTAGACGAGTGCAAATCATGGGCGCCACCCAGGCACCTTTAGAACTTGTCGTAGGTGAGTGAAAGTCAGCACCACAAGAATGGATGAAAACTTTCACCAAGGGGAAGATGGCACAGAGGAAGCTTCTGAACCCAACGGCACTAACAGTGCATAAATCCTATGTATACGTCATCCACAAGTTTGCCTCCACATCGCTTCATCTAAGGTTTTATATCTGATGAGAAAAAAGCTTTATTGTCTTGTAACTACAAACTGAAAGCGATTAAAACCTTTCCAACGCCTCTGACCCTGAGGACTCACAACCCTAAAGCTCTGGCAGGTTGGTGGCACAACACATCGAGGTAACCAAACAGCCTTGAAGATGAAAAAGCAGCCGAGTTTCTGGCCAGCCTGTCTGGGACACTCTAACCTCATCCCCTGCTGTAGCAAGAGGCACCACCACCAATGAGCCCTCTGCTTACCTGGGGGGAGTGGACTGTGTTAGCAGGCAACGCAATGAAGGCGAAAGAGCTTTGGTGTGTGGGAATTTAGGGCCAAGCCCCACAGTGACTGTGAATTAATTAGGGTCTTGAAGAGGTCACCACACCTGTCAATTCCAGTTTTCAAACATCTTTGAGCCCTTTTTCCAGTTCTAGAACTTTCTAAGTCTAGGAACCACACATAAAATCCACAATACCTGGGCTAAAATTTAAACTAAAACCCCAAAACACAAACTGTTTCTGCAGAGTTGATTCTGACTCATGGTGACCTCAGGTGTTACCGAGCAGAAGTGCTCCATGGAGGTTTTTTTTTTACTGTAATCTTAACGAAAGCAGATCAGCAGGCCTTTCTTCCATGGCACCAATGAGTAGGTTTGAACTGCCAATCTTTAGGTTAGTAGTCAAGTGCAATCTGGTTTGTGCCCCCCCAGGGACATCGGCCCCTAAACTACCAACAGGCTGGAGACACAGACATCAAAGCCTGATGAACCCAGTGGATTCTATGCCCTCGGAGTCCTACTGGTTTCAACTGCTCGGAAGGAAAGAAGGGGAAGACAGCTACTACACAGTGAAAAGATCAATTCAGAAAAAGAAAATATCATCTTCTGTTTTAAAATGTCTTCTTTTACTGACTTTTCAAAGTAAGATTACTATCTTTAACCATTACACAAATTTCAGAAAGGTCACCTGACCCCCCTCCCCAAAAAAAAAAAAAGCAACCAAACCAAAAACATCTTAAAATCCAGGTTATTACAACTTAAGAAAGCCTTTAAGGGCAAAGTAAGTACAGAGTAAACGGCTGCTACAGGCTTGTAGGGAGACCCTGGGTGCAAATGGTTAACTGCTAACCAAAAGGTTGGAGGTCTGAGTCCACCGAGAGGTGCCTCAAAAGAAAGGCTTGGCAATCTACTACTGAAAAATCAGCCACTGAAAACCCTATGGAGCACAGTTCTACTCTGACACACACGGGGTTTCCATGAATCAGAATCTCCTGGTTTTTACTGGTACAGCCTCCTTGGGCCCTCTCAGGATGAGCTGTGGTGAGCAGGAGGGGCAATCACAGCGGAAGAGAAGATGGCCAGGCGGCAGCATGCTGGAGGCCACTGGCTCTTCTGGCACTTGGGGACGGTGGAACTGGGAGCTCATAGGTACAACGCTGGGTTTGAATTGAGCGCCTCTGACTATGCTGAGGGCTGAGCCTGTTTCCAATCTCTGGACTATGATCTTTCGAGAAGAAGAGGGAGCCATGGGCCACTACCCCATTCATCATCTGCCTTCCCAGACAGAGCTGGGCTGCTCTGTGAACTTGCCCCACTTCTATCCCCACGTGGCAGACACTGAGACTGAAAACGGTGGCAGATAGAGTCCCCGGAGGCAGGAGCTGCTTTGCTTTGATAGGCTGCCTTCTACCCTGCTCCCCAACTTGAAGTTGGGGCCCTTTTCAAAACTTACCCGGATTTTTTCTCTCTTCCTTCACCCTTTCTCTGCCAAGATGAGGCGGCAGAGAGAAACGGCAAGGGCAGACACAGGCTCAGATCTCTGCTCGTCCACTCACTGGTTTCCAGGAGCGAGGGCAGCAATTTAGGCTCTCCATGGGTGTGGGCAGGAATTTAGGCTCTCTGGCTGTTTTCCTGCCTCTGCAATGGCGAGCGGCTGGCCCTCTGCAGGTGGCTGTGTAACCGAGAGGCAGCAGTACCTCTCAGGCCAGTGACCCCAGTAACAGGTGCCCTGACCCCCTTCCCTTCAGGGCTAAGTGGCTTTCACAGTAACTCCAGGTGACCAAATCGATGTGCTATTCTGTGACTCCCTCTTCTGCCTGTAACTATTCACCTGAAACTACTCATGGGGTGGGTAAGGGGGCAGGGAGGAGGAAGGTAGCAAAGGAACCCACCCGTGAAGCACCCGTCTAAAAGCTTTCTCAGAGCCTAATCGCACCTGGGCACGAAGATGGAATTGTGCAGGAAATTCTCGAAGACTTTCCGGTACTCGGCCTCCTCCTTCTCGGCCTGCTTCTCGGCCTCAGTTTTGGGGCAGGCACAGCAAGGCCCTTTCTCTCCACCACACACCTCGGTCTTGGGATTCTCCGTCACCTCCTCAACATCAATGGTGCCGTCGGCATACTTCCTGATGGGGATTTTGTCTTCTCGGAAAAGAGAAGGCAGAACGAGAGTAGTCATACATGTTTGTGAGGAAAAATAACAGCTCTCAGCACCTTTACTGGAGAATTGAGCTGGTTTCAAACTGAGGCTTTCAGTGGTTACCTGATACTCTTAACATCGGGGCTGTGAAATTCTCGAGCACTGGGGGTGAGCATCCTTACCTTTGGAGCAGTAATTGTGCCGGTAAAGGTAACTGTCCTGGGGCTGCCGCTGCCACCTCACGATGTAGTAGCTCAGGTTACCATTTGGCAGGGAGGGCGGGTTCCACTTCACAATCAGCTGAGAAGAGGAGTTTGATGCTGAAAGAACATCCAGGGGAATTGAAGGAACTGGCAAGAGGAATGAAGTGCATTTCAGAAAATGGAATGAATCTGAACTCCAGGCTGTCAGCCTGGCCTGTTAACCCTCACACCACTTGACACATGTCTCCCTAAAGCCAGCTGGCCCTATGAGTCACAGCTGGCTTTACTAAATGAATAAAACCCCAAACAACATAACTGAGGGATGAGAAGAAAAATTCTGAACCATTAAAATTTTTGTATTCACGTCTTATTTCAGTCTCAAAGTCCACAGCACTAATTTGTTAGGTAAAAACTAGGAAAGCTTGGGCATGTAAATTTGCAAAATGTGTGTGTGGGGGGTGTATGGTGTGTGTTTGCATGTGTGTGTGTACAGAGTGTATGTCCACTGGCTATGTGGTACGTGTGTGGTGTGTATGTGTGGGGTGGGTATGTGTGCGTGCAGAAAAAGGTTGTTCTTCATTATAAGAATTTTCTTTCTGAGATGTTATTTTTGGAATGAGAAATACACTGCCATTAACGTTACAGGGGATAACTGAAGTTTCGTTAAGTTAAAAAATTTTTTGTATGAAGTGAAGACTTTTCATGGTTTTTTAGTGACACTCAATGCAAACTAACAAGAAGCTACAAGTTTGACCTGAACAAGATCACAATGAACGTGAAAACTGAAATAGTGTTAATTTAAATGCCAACATTCTTCCTTATAACATGTCTTCTCAGGGAATCCCTGGGAAAAATAAACATTTCAGAGTTGCAAATGTGAAAGGGTTGTAGGAGCACAACCAGGTGAGAACAGATGACTTAAAACCTACAGCGAACTCAAACATCTCATTTTTCTTATTTATTACAACTGCCATTTTCCAAAACATTTAATTTCAGCAGTTTTAACAAACAGTAAAATTGACTGGCCTGAATGTCATCTGAGATTTTGAATCTCTGATAAAAATGGCAACAAGCCAAAATGTAAGGGGGGCATGCAGAAGGAGCACAAGAGGTGTGCGTGTGTGTGTGCGCGTGCATGTGTATGTGTGTGCGAGAGGAGTAGGGAGGAGAAAGCAATGCAAAGGGCATGGAAATCAACCAATTCTGTAGTCATGCTTGAACGGAATGCTTAATACATGACCATGAAAAGCAGTCTAAAAACTCAGACACACCTAAGCCCTGATTTCAAGCAACAGACTCTACTTCCAGCAAAAGGAATATTGATTTACAGGCAAAGCACCGTCATCTGGTGCAGCTTGACTCCCTACTGCTCCAAATCCACCCCACCGAGCTGACGTGTGTAAAGGGCAAACGCATCCCAAACGAGATGCCGTCGAGATGACTCCGATTCATGGCAACCCCACGCGTGTCAGTGTACCACCATATGCTCCATTAGTGTTTTCAGTGGCTGATTTTTCAGAAGTATCTTGCCAGGCCTTTCTTGCGAGGCACCTCTGGGTGGACTCAAACCTTCAAACTTTCAGTTAATAATCAAGAACATCAACCATTTGCACCATCCAGAAATTCCAAATGCATCCTCTCCCCTCCCCAAAAAACCAAACCCACCGTTGTCGAGTCAATTCCGACTCAGAGTGACCCCATAGAGTTTCCAAGGCTGTAAATTTCTATGGAAGCAGACTGCCACATCTTTCTCCTGTGGAGCTGCTGGTGGCTTTGAGCCACCAACCTTTTGGTTAGCAGTTGATCACTTTAACCACTGTGCCACCAGGGCTCCTTAAACGCATTCCAGGACTACAGAAATCTTGTTCTTCTTTGGATTTACAAAACAAATGGAAAAAAGCACTACTTTTGATGATTTTTCCAAAGCATAAGAGACACCTTCACTCTAGGCCACTTAAGCAACATTTTCATTCAGTACATTTTTAAAAAACTTAAAAGGGGCAAAAGCTGCTTAAAGGTGCTTTAAAGTATGTAATAGACACAAGGTTTCTAAACACCTTTAAAAATGATACTTTGGGAGAAGATTACGACTAACGCTAGCTTTTTCAGAGTAAACACAACCACTAGATGTTGGCCACATTAAGGTTTCCAAAACTAAGCATTTAAAAAACAAATGGCTTACCCTACATATTTCAATGATGGGTGCCACAAAAAAGCAGAGGCGTACTGGTTCTACTGGTTACTCTCTGTTCTTACCACTTGTAAAAACCCGTTGCTGTCAAGCTGATTCCGACTCATAGCCACCCTACAGGAGAGAACAGAACTGCCCCAGAGAGTTTCCAAGGAGCTCCTGGTGGATTCGAACTGCCGACCTTTTGGTTAGCAGCCGTAGCTCTTAACCACTACACCATCAGCGTTTCCTACCACTTGTGAGGACAGCAGCTAAAATGTAGTGAATTAACTCAATTTATACAGTGCTTGTTTTTCCATCTTTGGGGAAAGGAAGCAGGTTTCTTAAGAATTTGTCATAAGAAAGAAAGATTCCTATTTTTCCCAAACTTGCTACAGTGAATAGATGGGAAGCGTTACTTTCAAATTTTAAGATGAACAGTTTATCCTGTTGCATCTGTGCTTCTGCTACACCACCCCAGCAGCTGTGCGACTACTAACTGATGACTTTTGTGTGGCCTTTCTAGCCATGGTCTTGTAAATCCCACCCAGATGACTGTGTGATAGGGTAACTGTGGCCCACCAAGGGGACTGGTCAATTTTGCCTTAAAAGAGAGCCAATTCCAGAGCAGGGAGGAGGAGCCTACCACCACCAAGGAAGGAGAGACCAGCAGCAGAGATCCAGCAGCAGGAAGACAGTGCAGTGGTCTTCCCTACCCACAGAAAGAGAAAGCTGATGCCTTTGGGCAGAGACTGAGGGCCAGGGAGAGGTGTGCCTGCAAGCACAGCTAGGGGAGAGGCTATCCTGATGGAAGAACTGTATCCTGAGTGTTCCTGAGCCTGAACAGTAACTATTACTTCCCTAATAAACCCAGTAATTGTGAGTATGATCTGTGAGTTCTGTGTGGCCATTGTAATGAATTATCGAACCCAGTAGAAGGTGCTGTGGGTGGGGCAGTTGGTGTCAGAATTGGTAGAGACGGTGGAGAGAGGAGGCGTATCTGATTTCCACCTCAGGAATCAGCCTTGGGCTGTTGATCTTGGTTCTCCTTCCCCTTTGTGGAGTTGGAGGAGGTCAGACACCTCCCCCATGCTGTTTTTACACCAGCCCACCCCCAGGATGGAAAGCTTGTGCCCTTCTTCTTTCTACAAACACTTTATGGTCACTGACAGGACTGAGGCGGGGAGGAAGTGGGCGTGCATGAGCAAAAGTTTTCCCCACAGCCATCTTTCTGTCACCCTTTCTGCCATTTAAACTTATTCTGTGCTACCTTATAGGTGTTTTATAACAGTCTACCCATAACAATGGCTGTGGTCAAAGAACGTTCACCAGTGTCTTTAAAAAACGAAGTACATTGTCCTGTATCAACTTCTAAACTAGTCTTTATATACTTGGAAACTATACACAAATGTTAGTTTTTATTGTTTCCAGATTCTGGAATCGAGAAATGAGGTGGTTTAGAAAATGAAGATAAAGGGACAAGGAGGGACATTTTCATCAGTGAATACTCTGAATATCCACAACATACTATGTCTGTAGTTTTCCACTTCTGTCTATCCCTCGGGAATCGTAGTGACTACGAATGAAGTTGGAAAACCAATGAGCCACGGGAGGTAACAGAACATTGAACATCATGGTTTCAACTCATGGAGGCTGAAATATTTAAAAGGGCTGCGATAGTGAGCTGTGTCCTGGCCAGGCCTTCCCGTGAAATCAACCAAGAACCCAAAGGACCCGGGCTCATTAGCACAGAGCAGACAGAGAGATGACAGAAGATGGAACCAAGTCCAGAAAATGGCATGAAAAGTCCAGAAAATGGCTGTTAGAAGTGGGAAAAAGAATAAGAGAAAGTATTACATATTCCCACCACTCGTCTGCTAGTCTGTCATACTGTGATGGCTTGCATGTTGCTGTGATGCTGGTATTTCATGCTGGTATAGCAACACGGTCACAGTTCTGGGGGTGAGTTTGGAACAGTAGTAAAGTTTCAAGGTTTCAAGCAGAGCTTCCAGACTAGGAAGAAAGGCTTGGAGATCTACTTCAGATAATTAGTCAATGAAAACTTTATGGATCACAACAGAACATTATCTGACTCACTTGCTTTGGACATGTCATCAGGAGGGATCAATCATTACAGGACATCATGTTTGGGGAAACAGAGGGTCAGCGAGGATGTGGGAGACCCTCGGTGAGATGAACTGGCACAAGAGCCACAATGATAAACTTGAACATGTTGGCCATAGTGAGAATGATGCAGGGCTGGACAATATTTGGTCCTGCTGTACGTGGGGTCACCATGATTCGGAATGACTAAGAAGCAGCTAACAACAACATTGCGTATTGACATGGAAGACATATAAAAGACAGAATGGCCCAGGACAAAGAAAGTCAATAGGCACATTTCACTGCTAGCCTACATCCTACAGTAAGCAAGTAAAGTGAGCTAAAGAAGAAGGGCAGGATGTGAGGGCTGGTCTAGTGCCTGGATACCTGACGCATTGGTGCGAATGTATAAGATTTCACTCTTGGCCCCACGGATGTGGTCATTTTCCACCATGGTGAGAGTCACTGCCTTGACGTAAACGGCGTACTGAGTCCAGGGCTTCAGTCCATGCAGTAAAATGCCTGGCTCGATGTCCTTGTTGGTAGGGAGGTCCACGTCTACCATGTTCCAGCTGTTGGAGCCACAGGCGTCCTGCCCATCGTACTCCGTCACGTTTTTAAAGGGGCTGAAACATAGTCAATAAAACTCAGAGAATGTTCCAGAGCACTGACGTCAGAGCTCTCAACAACCTTTCCCAGTGGCCTAGCGTGTCACACTTTCTGTAGTGGGAATTCTAAATAAAACAAATAATCGATTAGATTTTTATAGAAGAACAAAATTAAGCAACGCTACTCCTGGTTTCACCACAGTTACTACCAAATTGAATATCCTGCTTCAGGAAAAGCAAGTTCTGTAGGTACTGGGGTTGATAATCCTGTTCTTTAACAGTATATACAAATGCTATTTTCCTCTCTTTCTACTGTGGTATTTTAAGGTCACTTTTCACCATTAAGAAAAAGCAAGCACAATCAATGCAAACATCATATACTGAAAAAGGGTAACTTTTGGAAAGAAATGACTTCCCCACAGAAAAACAGAAGTAGATTCTAATACCTAATTTTGTCACAAACAATCCTGATGCTTAAGTATCTTACGATAGTCAAATATTTCATTTCCAGATTGTCTCAGAAACTATCATCAGCTCCTCAGTAAAATTACTAGCCAACATTGCCAAAACACTGGTAAGACTATCGAAGACAAAACAGTGTTTTGCACACATGCATGGTTGTTTGGGTAGGGATTCCACATCTATTGGATGAAAGGGCTGACTGCCATTGGTCATGGGCTCCTGAAACAGACATGAACGTAACCTGGCTACCACCATGATGGGGGGTCACGATTGGGTCCCATACATACAAAAACTGAATGCCTAGTAATCCTGAGCCCTCCTCTTCTCCCTGGTTATGATCTTTCCCAGGGCACCAGCTCCAGCAGGGAAAAGGGTACAAGCTGTTGCCGTTGGTGAGTCCTGTCCTGCTCTGCAGAAGCCAAGAACCTCAGGAGAAGACGTACGGCATTAAAATATGGCCTGGGTAAGGGGAAGAATTAAGTAGACTGGGGGAAACACCTGGATACTGGGTACAAAGGAAAGTGAAGGGAGACTAAAAGGAGCTGCAGTCTATTTGGGCAGGAGGATATTATCTCATGGCATGAGAAGAGCCTCCCAGTAGACTTTGGGAGAAGTTATGGAAGGTCCCAGGCACAGTGATTGGTTGGTCTCCACTCCCGTTCCCTTGTCTTGAGGGCTCCCCAGATAGAGCGACAGAAATAAGACGGAGCAACCCACGGGTTACTCAGGGGGCCATGCATTCCGCGGGGGGTTCCTGGAGTAGTGGTGGGGGGCATGAAGGTCGGAACAACATTTCCACCACCACAGTTTGGACTGACCCAATTCTCTGGAAAGCAAGCCTTTGTGTTTATTTTATTCAAACATCTCTAATTATCCACTAAAGTATGAAAGGCCTCGCATTAACACTTTCCCATTTGTGGTGGCAGGACATTAGAGGGTGAAGTGAGGACGCTCGGCACCGTTCTCTCTGGGGCAGCTGACTCTCCGCCTCCTCCATTCAGCTAACGTGAAGGACCATCAGAGGAGTGACTTGACTCATTCCCAGCCCTATCAACAGAATGGCATCACCAAACGCAGAAACTCACGCTTCCTTGTAGTACACGGTGAAGCTGATGAGATCCCTGTAGTCAGGGGGCCGGTAGCGGTGCCAGGTGATAATAATCCGATTCTTCCACGTGGTGGTGGAGGTAAAATGCAGCACATCACTTTCACCTGGGGCAGAGGTACATCCATCAGGGACAATGGTCAATGCCATTTTTCTTCTCGTCTCTCTGAAAAGTCACCTGTCCTGGCACCATTTCCCTCTTCTCCAAGGCTGGTTGTACCCGCTAAGTCCCTTTCCTAAGTGACTTTCTTATTTCTACAAGAACTCATGAATTTTATTATGCAGATATCTTCAAGGGGTTCATTATGTTGCTATCAGACTCTGACTCCTGGCGATCCCGTGGGTCAGAGTAGAACTTTGCTCTATATGGTTTTCAGTGGCTGATGTTTTGGAAGTAGACCACCAGGCCTTTCTTCCAAACTGCCTCTGGGTAGACTCAAACCTCCAACTTTTCAGTCAGCAGCCAAACTCAGTAACCATTTGCTCCACCTAGGGCCTCCTACGTTGGTTTACTGTCGTCAAAACGTACTGGCTACTTGCCCAGGGGATTGGCAGTAGACCTGCTGAGGGTTTCCGAACTTGAAAGAGAAGAGCCACTTCAGTGGACAAGGTGGCCTTATCTTTCTTTCTGGTCCCTGAGATGCTGACTACCCAAGGGGCCCAGGTATGGTGAGAGTAAACCTTTAAGCTGGGCTGAATCTTCTTAGAGATAGAGTGGCACCTATCTTGGAGTTATGGAGCTGTCTGCTCTTGGAAAACCTCTACCAAGGACGGATAATAGTCAAGAGTGCCACAGACGGGATCTTCCCTTCGTCTAAACTGGGTAACAAACTGGAAGGACACAGGAACTTCTTTGAGGCCTCCAGCTAGCACTGACATACAACGAGAAACGGATTCAGCATGGACAAGAACAATTTCCCTTGTGGAACCGTCTTAGGTCTATGGTAGGAAGCCTTCCCAGGTGAGGCCCAGTAGGGAATCTGCCCCCCACCCCAACCCCTCTCCCTGCCCTCTTGTCTCCAGACCAGGTTCAACCTATGATGAGAACCTGGGAAGAACCAGCCAACGGGAGATCCAACTGCCTGTTCTCTTGGAGACCCCAGGCCCTCCTACAAGTTGTCTTCCACTCCCATATTTGCCTGATCCCACTCCACACACAGGGGATGAAGCTGAGAGACTAAGGGCAGCCCCAAACGGGAAGACTCTAGGGTTTCTCTAGGGTTTCATGTGCTTGATGGAGATCAGGAAAATGTTGCAGGGTTCCCAGTGAAATGTTGTTTAGAAAGAAAACCATGACTTTGCTTTTAAAGGAAAACAAGTGGCTGCTGTATTCATGATGTGATAGGTCAGACTGGCTTCCCCTAAGGAGAAAAGCACTTTTAAAATGCACTGATGCATCCACCTTTTGCCATGGTTTGAAAGTGGAGCATACAGGGACTTCAGTGGGTGGGAGAGGGGAGGAGAAAGAGCACTGGGGTCCAGGTTGTAAAGGCGCTCTCCAACTCTGCATTAGATGTCTCTGCTCTAAAATGCTTCTGAGCAATTTGGGTGTCTACCAGGTCAATCCAGACACCAGAAGACCGACCCAAAGCCAAATGCTAACAGTTGTACAGATTCTCCTCCTCTTGGTGTATGTGTGCGCAAATCACCCTTGACTATATAAATTACTCTGTTGTTTCTTTTTTTTATCCTTACTAAAAGCCAATGGAGGAAAGAAAAAAAATTTTTTTAACTCTACACAGGAAAACAGAGCCACAAAAATAAAAAACAACAACAACAACAAAAAACCCAGTTTTATATACAGGGTTAGGAGAGAAGTGTACTTTTATCTTCAGATACAAGAACAGAAGTTGTTTACCTGGTACCAGGTTATACTTATATAAGTTGTATAACCAGTACCAGGCTATAAATTTTAAAAGCACTATCGCCTCAGGGGTGCAGGGTCACTCAACCTTCCTGTGTTGAGGTGAAAATTGTGTCTGAGGGACGGGAACCTGGTGGCTGGTGGCCTGTGTGGGCTGCGTTGGTAGCTGGGCTCCCTCCTGCCCCTTCCCACCAACACTCTAGGTGAGGGCCCACCGAACTCATTCTTAGGACAGGAGGATGCTCGCTCTTGTTTGAAAAATAATCTAACTATATGCCTGTGTGTAAAAAAGACAGTAATTATCTGTATCCTGTCAGCACCCCTTTAAAATCTGAGTAAGAACTTATTTATAAACATTTAGCACTCTCACAGAGAAGCTAAGCAGCATTTGCAAATATAAAGGTGTCATGAATCTGTCCCACTATTGCAGAGGGCTCGTTAAGGTGGCCTTGTGCCACCCCACCTCCACCCCCTCAAGTAAAACCAGGAGGGGAACCCATGAAGGCAGCCGTTTCAGACAGGAGGAGGGTCTGCAGCTGTCATGCCATCCACTCACAAGAGGCTCTTTCTCCATTGTTCCTCGTGTTTATGTCCCCTTTGCTCTGGCGCCCTTTAGTCCCCGTCACTTCCTCCATGCGGTAAATTTCAGAAACGCACAATTTGGGATTAAAAGCAAAGTACATCTTCCCCGCTTTGATTGTCAGGTTGCGGTGGTCCCAGTCCCACAGCTGCTGCAGGTTCTGGTTGTCAAGGACGTAGAAGGAGTAATTCCTAGAAGAACAGAAACGGACCTCAGCACACTTAACCTGTCTGGTGGCCGCCCAAGCCCGCTGGGCCCAGCCCCTCCTCAGCCCTCAGCTGTATAACAGTCCCCTTGCCAAAAACAGACTTCGTTATTAACATTCTAGAAGACTGGAGAATTACTGTGAACAATGGCAACCAAATGATTCAAGGACAGCACGCTGAAATCGATAGTACACTAATTTTATGACCTCTGTTACCAAAAATAATGCTTCCCACGTCGGAGGATGTTACTTGACTCATTCCCTAGAAATGCCTTTGGTTATTTTTCTCAGAGCAGAGAATGTACAATGTGCTTGAAATCGGGACATGGAGAGCAGATACGCTCTGCTACCCAACCAGAACAGCTTACATATTTGCTGCAGAAAGTCTCCCATTATCCTCAGGAGTAAATCCCATCTGTGCCCAATCAGGAGGCTATGACGGAACAGCAGACAGGACAGGACAGAGATGTAGACTCACGGTGCACCAGCCGTGGGCCTGCTCACTCCACCAGCCTCACCCCACCCTGCAAAGGCCCAGCTTCGAGCCCTGGAGAAGGCATAGGGATGAGAAACAGCCCAGGGTGGACAGTCTCTGTGGGCCACCTTTCCAGGCAACAGTCACCCAGTGTCTCATGCAGAGGTCCTCAAAGCTTAGTGTGCACCACATCACCTCGAAAGCGGAGTTTCTGATTCAGCAGGTCTGGGGTGGGTTGAGGATTTGCGCTTCTAGCAAGTTCCCAGGTGATGCTGATGTTGCTGGTCCAGGGACTCGACTTTGAGAACCACTGCTCTAAGGATGCTGAGCACAGGGGCGTTCTGGAGGCCCAAAGCTGACCAGGCAGACCCGGCTCCTGCCCCAGACAGTATACGAGGCAGCAGCACACCCAGGGCCCACCAGGGGGAGATGGAAGCAGGCAGCACCAGAGTAGGCACCCCTGGCTCCCTGGGTACCAGCAGAAGCCCATTCCGGGGAGGTGAGTACACACAGCAGGACTTCTTCCTCTCTGGCTCCCTGGGAAGCAGGGGGGGCAGACTGCAGCCTGAGTCCTCTGTGCGGGAAGTTCTGCTCCCACCTCCTTCAGATCCCCTCCCCCTCCTGCCCCCCAGCCTCAGGGTCTTTCCGTGGCACACTCACACAGTTGGTGCAACACTTAGAACTATTCCTGATTTATGCACAGACCCAACACACAAACACGCAGCACAGAAGGAGTCCAGCCTCTTTACAGAGCCAGGACGGTCAGAACAATATCACCCTCAGTCTTCTCTGCCCTGGAGGACGTGCCCATCAGGACACCTCTCTGGAGAACGTCCTCATCACCCCCCATGCTAGGACCTCTAACCACCTGTCCAACCCTCAGTCTGCACTCATTTAGAATGAAGCACGAGTTCCGGTTAGAATGCTGCCAAGTAGGACATGGCGTTTTTCTGGGAAGTCACAAGGAGTTTCCCTGTCAGACCCGGGGGGCAGAGACAGGATCCAGGAGCAGACGTGCACTGCTAGGCTACACAGGCGCAGGAGAGAGCTCAGTGTGCTCTGACGCCCAGTTTAGTCATTTGTAGGAAGAGAGATTTGAGCAGGTGACATGCGAACCCCCTAATGACCCTAATGCCCAAAAGGAATCACAGAGCTGAGGTAGAATCTGTCCCACCAGCCTGAAGCCCAACACCTCCCAGGCACTGGGTTCTCCACCCACACGTGTGCTGAGTGGCAATGGCAGTGGCGGTGGTAGCAGGGGTGGCAATGGTGGTGGTGGTGGAGGTGGTGGGGAGGGCTGGAGTCCTGCCCGTAAAGGATTCAGTGAACCGACAAGCAAGTCTCCAAAGACAGCTCCTCCAAATCCAACCCAGGCTCCGCACAAACCCATCCTTTAAGTGTCTTCATGTATTAACAGTCACCAAACAGGGTGTTAAGAACTTGCAACTTAAAGTGGTGTCCACATGAATCCAGACACGGTATATGCAACAAAGGCCCTGTGTCCAGGAGGAGGCACTGGGACAGGCATGTCCAGCTCTGTGTCCCTGGGGCAGACCTGTCTAGCTCTCCTCTCTCTCGCTGCCAGGCGGCAGGTGATGTTGCTGCCAGGTAAGGGTGTCAGTACACTCAAAGAACTGAAAAAGGGGGTCAGAGGAGGAAACAGATGCCTCCTATTATACACACATGGGGTCATCATGAGTCAGAGTCAACCCAACGGCATCTAACAACAACATCATCACCAGCCCACATTCATGTCTGCAGAATCCTCCTGGCTCTGAAGGAGACTCTGCAGGACTGACACCACCTTCAATGTGTCTGGCTGCTCCTGGGCACCTGAGTTAGCCTCACGGGACCAAATCTCCTTGTTGGCAAAGAAACCTCTGGGCCAGGAAAACCCATCACCCCATTGCCGTCAAGTCAATTGCGACTCATAGAGACCCTACAGGACAAAGTAGAGCTGCCCCACAGGATTTCCAAGGCCATAAATCTTTATGGAAGCAAACTGCCATATCTTTCCGAACCACCAACCTTTCAGTTAGCAGCTGAGAGCTCATCCACTGCGCCACCAGGGCTCCTTCTGGACCAATTAATCTGGTCAAACTTCTGTCTCTAGCCAGGATGAAGCTCCTCTTAGTGAACTTATTTGACCAGCGGGGGATGAACCCACACCAAAAATGGCTTTCCAGCAACACACCCCTCTCCCCACGGGAGGAAGCCTGAATTATACATGAGGAATGTGATAAATGAATGGCAGGCACCCTGAAACACTGTGTATTTGATTAATCACTTTTGAAAGCAAGATTATCTTTTCATAGTAAACACAAACATTTTTTTACATCAAGAAGGCTGGGAGCCAGGATACCAATATTAATAAAACCCATGCGTTATAGAGGCTGTGAAAGCTAAAGAAAAAGAAAAAGAAGACCCTCGTCAAAATAATCATCAAGCCATTCACGCGCCGTCTGTCAATACTGCTCTTGTGTTTCACACCCCAGCTCAGGCCAGCTCCCCCCAAATTCCTTCTATGGTCAGGTGAGAATGAAGACATGGCCCAAGGACAGAGACTTGTCTACACATCTTCAAAATACACATACCTCAAATTTCCATTGTTTCCAACGGTTATTTAAATAAACGTCTCACTGAATGTGATTTTTGAATTTTTCTAAGTTCACTGCCTTTACATTCAAAAAATATTTTTAAAAAAATCACGTTATTTACCTGCTGTTTTATTTCTATACTTGGGTAGGCCCCATCTGCCAGTCTGTAGAAGGTTCTTCAGGTGCGAGGACACACCTGGATTAGGCTCCGCCTTTGGGAGCAGTTGTGTATCTCCTGGAGGGCATTCGTCTATTATTTGTATCGATATTCTAAATGCCACATATTACACACTTACCTGTCTCACCTCTTGTTTGTCAACACATCATCACCCCACCTGCTCCAACAAAGGGCAGGAAGGACGGGGAAGAAAAGAGTCGTTGTAACTCCTATCGATTTGAATGGTACTTAGAAGACAGTCCGAGGTACAGGGTTCAGAGCAGTACCTTCGGGAATCCAGAGTTCAGGGTTTGGGCCTCAACGCTGCCACTCACTAAGCAATAACTGTAGGGAAAGCCCTGATGTGACTCCTGGGCTGGAGTTTCTCAACTGCAAACTGGAGACAACTCCTGTTCTTCTGGCCTCACAGCCAGTGTGAAGACTTGAATGAGGCAATATAAAAGGATACTGTGAACTTAAAATCACCTCACAGAGGTGTGGGATAATTGCTCTCTGAAGTGTCAAAGTCCCTTGGAACAAAGTCCTGGAGAACAGAAAAGCCCTGATCCCCGACAAAGGGGGCTGAGGCCAAGGTCTCCAGGCTGCAGAGGGGGGAGGGCCATTCCCCTCTTTTCAGCCGATGCAGACATACTGGAGCCCTGACACATTGGGAAAAAATGTGCAAATACACAACCAGTCAGTCATCCCCTTTAACTGCTCAGAGGAGAAATAGCCTCTCTTCATGGCTGTCTCTAGGGGGCATCAGAGCCCAGCATACAGGGCTGCCTCCAGCCTCAGAGGACTCTTCAGGTAGGATCTGGCCTTTGCATAGATGCTCCTTAGGCCAATCTGCAAACGGACTGTTTACATGCATCCAATCCCCCCAAGCCCAGTACTTACGCCACCTTGGGGTTCAGCAAGTCCAACATCACTAAGTTCCTCACTGATACGCAGAAAATGTAACCCCTTCACTGAAGTATGATTTACCTACCAAAACTTTACCTGTTCTAAGTGCACAGTTCCATGAGCTCCTGTAAATTTACACAGCTGTCCACCTATAACCACCCAGTTTTAGAACATGCCCATCACCCCAAAAGTTCCCTCATGCCCATGTGTTGTCAATCCCCGCTCCCACCCACAGCCACCACTGGTCTGCTTTTTGTCTCTATAGTTTTTGCCTTTTCTAGAAATTACATATTAATGAGATCATGTAACATGCATGCAGCCTTTCGTGTCTGGCTCTTTTCACTTGGCACAATGTTTCTGAGGTTCACCCAGGCTGTTACATGTATCAGTAGCTCATTCCTTTCTGTTGTTGAGTAGTATTCCATTGCACGACATTTGGTTTATCCATTCATCTACTGATAGACATTTGGATTGTTCCCAGTGGGTATTTTGGGGAGGAAGGGGGGAAGCAGACTATCATGAATAACACTGCTGTGAACATCCACATACAACTCTTGTGTGGACACATTTTCCCAATCTTAGAGCTGCGAGAAAGTGAAATGAAGCAGAGAGTGTTCCAAGGCCCAGTGGTGGCATCATGAATGCAGAGATGCTTGCGTGAATCTAAGAATTTCCATTCTCCTAACCCACCACTTCCACCTATTTTAGGGCAACAGTCCTCGGTAGCACCAAAGAATTTGAAATTTTGAATCCTTATTTATCTGCTGTTATCAGAAAATAAGGTTTTCTAAATATGGCAATTTTACAGACACCTGAAATACTCTCTTTTATTCAAGCGCTTAAAAATAAGC